GCATGCCGTTTGTTGCTCTTTTGAAAACCAACAAATTACCATCATTATGCGTTTCGGGGGGAGGCTGAGCGTAATGATGATGATGGCGATAATGATGATGAGCCTTTGACTTTGTCTAATATTAGCCACAGCGGTCTCTACATACATACATAAGTACATGGTAAAGGTTTTTACAAGCTGCATCGTTTAATAAAGCCAATTAATGATAGCAGGCGATTTTAAAAAGTGTAGCATACCTGATTGACTCGCAAATGGTTTCTGCACTTCACTTCAGGCAGTGAGCAAAAGTAAGAGGAAAAAAAAACAAAAAAAAAACAAGAGCACAAAAATATATTTCAGTTCAAGCCACACACACAGCTGCAATAGCAACAACAACAACAAAAGTCATATTAAAAATCATTCGCTTGTGAAGATCAAAAGCATTCTTTTTCACCAAAATGCCATGAATGATGATGATGTTGTGGGTGCCAGGGGGGCAGGGGGGAGGAGGAGGAGGGGTTGGATTTTAGCTACCCCCCGCCTTGCTCAAGCATTCAGCCAAAAATGCATGCCACACACATATACATGTTGCCTACCTATACACAAAGTTACACACATACATACACACTATACAAACCAACACGTTTTAATCTCGCTTGCTCTTTTGTGTATACTTGGGTGTATATGTGTGTGTGTGTACATATATATATTTATTTATGGCTTTTCGTATTCAACCACCGAAACAAAAAAATAAATCGTCCTTCTGTATGGGTGTGTGTGTGCACATTTATTAAATATTATTGCTCTTATTTTGCGCTTTACTTGGCATTTTTTTATTGCGGTTACTGGTCTATATAATTGGCAATTCCGACTTGCTGTTGCGTGTTGTTGTAGTTGCTGTTATTGTCATTGTCATTGTTGTTGTTGTTGTAGTTACTCGTACCATCCACCTTGCTGGCGCGCATCGTTTATTAATTTTCATGCTTGGCCATGAATAAATAAAGTAAAACACAATCATTGTGTCCTTCGCATATAATGAAGGCAATAAACTGGCAAACTACTTACAAAGCACATATATTGACAGCAGATTGTAGCGCCCCTCTCTGCGCTTCTCAACTTCCGGACTGGCGTATTGGCACTGGCTGTGTGTGGTTAAAAGATTGAGGCTTTCCTGCTCACGAAATTAAACAAATCTTTCTACGTTCGATTTCCCTATGGCTGAGAAATAAAGATTGTGCCCGGAAAATCCTCGTATGCCCCAATTTCTTAGACTGCTGATTTATTGAAGTTGAAAATACATTATTAAGAACTTAGCATGGCGTATCCTTATTTTAGTTACCATAGTACATTATAATGCTGAATTTTTCATTTTATTGCCAACTCTTCTAATTACATATTTCGGGTCCTTCTTCTGGGGGGAAAATGCCAATAAGCCCGAAATGCTCAAATTGTTAATAAAATGCCAACGAATTGTGTCACGCGTCTGACTGATGCTTAAGGCCGTGTTATCAGCTACTTAATCTATGTTCCGGTCCCATTATTAGATGCGAGTAATTGCCGTTTTATAGTCAATAATAATACGAGGACGAAGATGCGCGAGGAGGGTTGACAGCAAGAAAAAACAAATTTCAATATCCACTTTGCTATAAAAAACAAAGTTATGCATTTTATTAGAAAACAAACACGTGTTCACAGCTCATCCAGATCCTGCGTCTGATCCTGATTCTGTCACTTAAGTGGTGGCGGCTGTCGTAAAGCAGCTTGTTGTTGTCAACCCTCCTGTTGTTGTTGTTGTTGTTGTCGCGACGGCGGCAATGGAAAAACAAATTAAGTCACCCTTTTAATACGCTATTTAATTTTTCGTAATATTGTCAACATCTCTTGACAAATGGTCAGCATCGTGCTTGCAACCTCAGAACCACCCCTCCGGCCACTTGATGGGCTCGGCTTAAACGTCAGGGTGGTTTATTTGGACAATGGGAAATGCGATTAGAGGAAGCCGCCGACCGGATCAGCTTGCAGGTGCAGGGCGCAACAAATTAGGCGAATCGAATTCAAAAATCCGTCACACTAGCTGCATAATTTGTCAGCCGATTTATGAGAAAAAGTCAAATTCCTTAAATCAAGTACAACATGATCTCTCATTAGAGGGAAATTAATAGTATTTACAGAATTGTAACTGAGGTAAGCCAGACGGACTATATCAACTGTTTTTTAATACTGTTTAAGAATATAAAATACTTATATACATTTTGAGATTTTCTACACCAGAACGAGGGCGTTGCATACCTTCGTACTAAATTAGTGTACCCTTGTACCCCTTGAGTACAAACAACAAAAAAGGAATCAATTGATGTTGCGTTTATCAAGTCCTTCAAGTTAGAGATTACACAACATGTACATATAGTTTGTATATACAAGGTCGTAAGCAGCTTCTTCCCAAGACGGGGGAATTCATATTTTGATTAAATAATGCACGATGCGTTAATATAATAATTTTGCATATTATCAACAGAAAAACTTCAAAAAATCCATCTCAGTTCCACTTTAAGGAGAAATAGTGCACCATACTTGTAATAATAAATGTATGGTCGACGTCAGGCACAACAATTGAAACATTTCTTCGAATACAAGTATGTACATGTACATTTTAGCTTGTGGTATGATTCAAACCATTTTAGTCTGTGAGATCATAGTGTAGAAGCCAGTGCGGGAGAAATGAACCGCTCTGCTGTTACTGTTCAGGATGCAAAGACTGTAAATATCAATGGGAGAGAGCTAGCAAGTAAACCAAACCCCAGGACTAAATGAAACCTGTGCTCGCATCTAAGGAAAACTGCGCCTCCATTCTGAAACCCCGACTAATACGGAAATGATCGGAGACAACTTTTAAAAAGTAATGCACAGTAAGAACTCTTACACGACAGAAATGAAGAGCGAGATGGATAAAGGGGACAGTAATGTCGAATCGAGTCTATTAAGTCGATTTATTCAACAAATGTTAATGTTAGTTTTAAGCAAGCTTACCACATATTTAATAATAACAAGTACATAGAGGAGCTAAGGTCAGGTGCCTCGACTTTGAAATACAGTGAAACCTCTCTTAGCCGGACACTCACCGTCTAACAACTTTTGTCCGGCCAAGGGGAGTGTCCGGTTAAGAGGACACATAGACATTTTTTCAATATTTTGCTTATTTTGATTGTTTTTCTATTTAGGCGATTAAAATAAATTGACTTTATTCAATACTTGTATAAAAAATACGTTAGGATTTATGAAATTACTTACCAAAAGGTACGAGTCCGGCCAAGAGAGGTTTTCTTCAAACTTGATGTGTTCCGGCCAAGAGAGGCTTTTGTTCGAATTTCTCGAAAAATAGTGTCCGCATCCGGTCAAGAGAGTATCCGCACAAGACAGGCGAACTTGCTCTAAAAAGTACACCAAAACGAATGTTCTAGAAAAAGTGTCCGCCTAAGAGGGGTGTCGGGTTAAAAGAGATGTCCGTTTAGGAAGTTTTCACTGTACTCCGTATCTGTGTATAGAATAAAACATTAAAAAAAAGAAAGTTATAATAACAAAAAATATTGAGCCTCCTTCGGGTTCCGAACCTCCATCGAGATCCGAACATACTTTAAACTGTGCAACTGATTATGCATTGTACAAACCTTTCCGGGCTTTATACTTAATTTCTAATATTCATTTCCATCTGCTCTCAACCGAACTTTGCTTTTTTAAAGCCTGGCTAATAAATCTCTCCCCTCCTCTTCATTAATTAGCATTTAAGTTAGCCAATTTAAGTTTTCTAAGTTTTCTTTCTACAATGTTCACCTCGAGTCGAAGGCATTTATTAGATATTATTGGGGTTTAATTTGATTCTCCTACATAGGCCTTTTTAACTTATAATGCTGTTTTAAGTTTATCAGCATTTACTTTTTATTAAATTCTATTATTAATTTGTGAGAAATTTGCAAACTGTCAGATTTAATGCAGTCAGCATGAATATTTGCAATAATAAAATGCCGACAGTGGTGGGCGTGCGATTAGGGATAAGTTAATCAAATTGCCGCACTAATAGGTTAATCAAACTAATTAAAGAAAAGTTGCAGAAACATTTGTTAGAAAATGCGACAGACCAACAACAACAACAGCAACAACAGCAACAACAACATGCCAATTGGCAGCTGTAAATTCCACAAAACAACTTCATGCAATAAATAAGGGAAGGGGTTGTAAGCCCAAGCCAATGGGAGGAATTGCGGAGGTGGGGTTGGGGTAGAATGTTCGTCCTAAGTATCTTGTTAGCAACAAAAAGGGTTGCTCCAGCCGTGCTGTCCTTTGCTTTGGAATTTATAGCAAACTTTTGTGACATGTTAATTGCCCGGTGGCAGAGCAGCTTGCTTGTTTATTGTTGCTGTTGTTGTTTTTGCTTTGGTTGCCAGGCTTAGTTGCTTTGGAAAGTTCTTAAAAATTGACGCGCGCACTCTTTTCTGCGTCTGTGTGTATGAGTGCTTTGTTTCGGTTTGCAGTTTAATTAAAAGTAGAAATGTGGTAAAAGGGTCCATAGTCGATGTTATGACCACTGGTCAGGTCATATGATTGTGTCTCATGCAGATTGGTAAGCTGCCTAAATTGGATAAAGCACTTGGCAACAACATTTTGCGGCATAACAAAAAAGTTGACTCTATTCATTAGTCAAAGCTTAAGAAATGCATAATGCACGTTAGTTTCGTTTGTTCGGACATGTGTTGAAATATAAATGAAAAATAAAAACATTACCCCCAATTAGAGCTGTACGCGTGCCTACAAAGGAAGACCTTTTCACGAAATATATTTGTTGTTGCTTTCACAAATTAGAAGGTTTTTTTTTTGCAATCTAAATCAAGACTTCCAGTCCAGTGTTGAATCTAAGATCCGTCAGCCGGGAACGCACGGCTTGTTTGAACTTATGTTAAAATTTAAACAAAACATTTCAAAGAGTTGCATTTTACCGCTTAAATAAATCTCGTAATAACATAAATATATGGAATTTAAAGCACATACAGTTTACTTTATTCATTTGTGAAAGCATATGTAATTATGCTTTTGACCTTATGTTTATAAAAATTATTTTTTTTTTATAAAAATATATATCTTGTTCGACCTTCAACTATAAATACCTTAAATGTTAAAGTGGAAATCAAACTTAAAAAATTTAACAATCTTCTGGAGTTGGAGGAGCCTCAGCTTCAGCCTCACTTGTTTCGTTCTGTTGGCTTTTCGGCACCGCCAGTGGTTTTATGAAACGCTGACCATAATAGGCAGTAATGGCCACCAAGCGTGTATCCAAAAAGTTGTGCTCCACCTCACATTGTTGTCCGACGCCCGCCAAACGAATCAGCTGCTGCATATTCGCATTGCGGGGAAAGAAGCAGGACACATTGGGACTTAACTGCCGTGCCAGTTGCAGGAGCTGTGCGGCACCCACTGGCTGTAGACACTTCTCGATGTCATAGCTGGGCTGCCTGAGGTAATCAGGTCCACCCCAGGGAGGACTAAGAAAGACGACATCTGGACGCAGACGCGTCGAGAGTGCAAATTTTAAAAAATCTGCATGCACAAACTGAATCTTGTGGGCCACACCGTAAATGGCGGCATTATGCTTAGCCATGGCCAGCTTTTTTTCATCGATGTCAATAGCTATAACCTGTTCGCAGGTGTTGGCAAATTGAATTGCATTGCCACCACAGCCGCAGAAGGCATCGAGAATGATGTCGCAGGAGAGGCGACGGGCCGTTTGTTTGGCAATCTTCTCGGGCGTCACAGAAAACCAGCTCTCACGATCCAAACGTATGCCATGATCGAAGCGAGAGAAAAGGGAGAAACGCTTGAACCAATATTTGCGTACTTGATTGTCCTCGCGCATAAATTCTGGCATACGGGGCACAAATTTACGAGCATCCTTGCGTTTTTTGCGAATAACGGGATTCTGCACCCCATGCAGTGCCTCCTCAGAGTCCTTTGGCATATTTAAATCGCTTTCGCTGCCACTTTCAACAGAAACAATGATGGGTTTTTTATTGCTTTTCCGGTTTTTTTGAGTACCAAACGCTGTGGGCAGACCGAATAATTTGAGCTGCTCCTCGTCGACGTCGTCGGGATCGTCGTTGGCGGTCCAATATTCCTCGTCACTGGTCCGTTGTTTATATTTATTTGTTCTTTTTTTATGGGTTAGTTGAAGCAAATCGAGTCGTGGCAAATTCTCAGCATCTACTGCCACATCATTTTCATTCCCCTCTAGGGATTTAGTCAGTTCTCTTTGGTAGTTTTCAAAAGCGCAACTAAATATATGCCAAAATTGTCCGCTTACTTCGGTGGTATGCTGCTGCCAAAGCTCCTGCCACTCCTGTTGCTCCTCTAATGTGGCGTAGGCGATTTGTTCCTTATATTCAGGGTAGCGTTTATTCCACTCTTCCTCCAAAAATTCATTAGCTTCACGCTCCCAAAAGCTAATCCATGCAGCTTGTTGCGTCTCCTCCCATTTGGTTAACAAGCTCTCTACATTCTGGTGGACTAATGTATCGAACTGTTGAGTAAAAATGTAAAAGTGTGGGTTGTGGCACGACGTAGTTAAAAAATGCGTGTTCATATCATGAGATATTTTAACTACAGTCTTTTTCGTCACATAGCAGTCTAATCTCAAGCTTGCGTTCAGTTAAGTCAACTGCTTGGTTTATACGTTTTATGAACCACACGTTGATGGCCGGCTTGTACGTTTTTTCCAAGTAATTCATCAATTTGTCACGCTCTGTTTCGCTTTCCAAATACAATTCGTGGATGCCACGTGCGGTCATCAAAGCGCCGGGACCCAGCACATTGCAAAGCACAACCTCACCCCGAACAATGCAAGGAGATCCGTCGGCCAATTTCTCCGAGTTGACGATTTCGTAATTGATGTTAAGCAGGCGGACAGAAAGCGTTTCAGCAGGCAAGGTATTCTCGCTTTATAGTATATAGTAAGTATATTGAATTTTTATAAGAAGTTTCGCAAATTATTGTGGCTTATGCTTACCAGGGCAGGTGTACTAAACGCAAGTTTTGTAATTTGAAACCATCCGTTTCTATGCCCAAAACGCCGCTTACTGCACACTTTCCGTAATGAAGCTGTCTATAATCGGGCACCAGTGCAATCTCCTCGACAAGAAGATGCTTGAAGTAGTCGCAGTATTTCGGTGATTGCTCGCTGGGATCGGGATTCATACCGCCTGACGCGCAATAAACTACAAAGTGTCCGCTCAACTAGCCGCCCACTGGTTGCTCTGAGTTTAGTGTTGTAAAGCGTTGAACGCGCAGCAGCTGTTTTCACACGTGTAATCGGCAAGTAGGCTTGGTCTGTTTTGCGCATCACTAATTTTCGCGTTTCAAGAAACACAAGTCTTGAATTTTTTAATTATGTATTAAATTTGACTGAAAAAGAGATATTTGTAAAAATCAGATAGAGATTTCGATACAGGTAACATGTCGTTTATGAATCCCGTCGATACTGTGGATGAGGATGCCGCAGACTTGCAGTTTCCAAAAGGTAATCAAAATTTAACAATTTCCATAAACAACTTTTACAAGTGAAACCAAAATATACGCCGTCCTGCCTGTAAGTGCATTCGTCGCGCCGGCCACGTTTACACTCATTTAATTAATTCTTTGCAGCTGAGCAGCCTAATGTAGGACGCTCATCCATAAAAATTGCGCGCGCTCGCATTGATAAGAAAACCAAGTTATCCACAACATTTTACAATGCCGAGACATTAAACAAACAACTCACGAGCTTGGAACAAAATGCCCCAGAAAACAATGAGAGTGGTAAATGCCTGTATGGCGAAGACCTCCCATGTGCCACGTGTCACAGCAGTCTAAGTGAGCCTTATATACGGTGCTCGGAGTGCTTGGACATTTTACTCTGCCTGCAGTGCTTTGCGCGGGGCCGTGAGAATGGCACACATCGCAATTACCATGCCTATGTCGTTGTGCGCGATGACATTCAAATATTTCCCGGAGAGCCCGACTGGACGGCACGGGACGAGCGGATTTTGTTGCAAACTCTGCGCACTCAAGGCTACGGCAACTGGGAGGCAGTGGCACGCGCTCTGGAACAGCGTCATACGAAAGCAGAGTGTCGACGCCACTACCACGATTGCTACTTTGGTGGTATTTTTGAAAGACTTCTGGGTCTAAAGCATGCTCGCCAATGCTACCTACCCGAACGCATGCCCTATGTGGTCAAAATGCGTTCCCTAGAACCACCGCGACACGATGATATTACCTCCATGCAGTTCAAAATTAATGCTGGATATCGTTGCGCCCGTGGCGATTTCGATACGCCCTACGATGGATCCGCCGAAGGCATACTATCCGTAATTTTGAATCAAGAACGAGTCACGTCCATGGCTAGTAACGAAGAGGATGAGGAGATTTTTGACAAGGATCTAGATGAGGAACTGCAATGTGCGCTGGTCCGTGCTTACAACCATCGGCTAAGGTACGTAGGTGCACAAAACTAGGGCGTAACTAGAAAATACAGCGGTGAGCGGGACGTGCAGAGGCACGTAATTTTTTAATTATTCTACACAACTTCTCGTGTATTTATTGCTATTTCACTATTGACCATTAGGATGGCCGTTATCCCAGAGAAAAATAATTTGAACAACTTACTAATTTGATATAATTTTACATTTTCGGCGTACTTAGTTTTTTGGTTCTTTCTTTTAAAATTCTCTCATTTTTGCCCAATAAATCAAATAGTTCGATGAACTGATTTATAAACGATTGCAGGATATCACTAAAACCTAAAGAGGGTAATACTTTTCATTCCAGAGAACGTCATCGACGCTATAAAATTATGCGTCTCAACGGCCTCATCATGCCGAATCGGACAGTTGGCTGGATATCAAAATATGCCCATGCCTTCCGCAGCGATACGAATTGTATGCGCTTTCTTGCCTTTGTTCAGATCTGCAATCCCATGGACTTTGACATGCTGGTGGAATCCCTAAACTATTATCGTGAGCTGCAGAGTCGTCTAAATCGACTGTACGATTTGCGACAACAGGGCATTCGCACACTATATGGAGGTTCGCTCTACATGCGTCTAAACAAGCAGAGGCAACAGGCTCAGCGCGAATATGCGAGACAACGACAATATAATGCCCAAGATTGGCAGCAGTTGGTGCAACACTACGAGACCAATAGGACGATGGAGAATCTGCCGGAGGGGATCAGTTCAAAAATATATATGTTAAATGCACGCCGCAAGGCAGGTCCCATGGAAATAACAGGTAAAATGCATTTATGTTCCAAGTGTATGCACTTTTCAGTACTCTAATGTACTCTCAATAAAATTCTTTCAGATTTACCCGGCTACACACAATTGAATGAAGAGGAGCGTAGCTTATGTAGCGTGGCTCGGCTAGTGCCTCAGGCCTATCTGGAATATAAGGCTCAACTAATTGCCGAGAATTCTAAGTTTGGATATTTGCGCTTAGCCGATGCAAGACGTCTTATTAAGATCGATGTGAATAAAACGCGACAGATTTACGACTTTCTGCTTGAACATGGCCATATAAGCAGGCCACAGACCTATAGCTAAAATCAAAACATATTTTGTGTTTCACTTGTAAAATTGCGTTTATCCATACATTATCCACATATACCAACGTTATGATTTTTTTAACTTTGGCAGAGTTTGAAAATGCCGAAACGCTGCTGATATCTGAAGTACATATGCTGCTCGATCATCGAAAGCGACAAAATGAGTCGGCCGATGAAGAGCAGGAATTCTCGGAGGTGTTCATGAAAACCTACGCTTACACCGACAGTTTTCGAAAGTTTAAGAACAAGGAGACCATTATGTCAGTACGCAGGTATAGTGCAAACTGAAAATATAATTGCAATAAGCTGTTAACAATTTATATTTAACATAGCTTGCTGATGCAAAAGAAACTACACAAATTCGAGCTAGCTGCCCTGGGAAATCTGTGTCCAGAGGCTCCGGAGGAGGCCAAAGCATTAATACCATCGCTTGAGGGTCGTTTTGAAGATGAGGAGTTGCGTCAAATACTTGACGATATCGGTACCAAACGCAGCTTACAGTACTAAAATGTACAATTAACATTAAGTTCAAATGCATTCATACCCAATTCATATAATAGTAATAGCCGATGTAAAAAATGTATTGTCTCTTAATAGTCTTTTTAACATTTTTGAATCAATCAAAAGGCACGTAAAAAAAACATCAACAAATTATTTTAACAAGCATATTTTATATATCACTTAATTCTTCCAGCGTCACACATCCTCCTGTTTCATCATAGAAAACTAGAGAATACGGCCATCAAGATAATTTTTAAATATGATTTGGAATTCAAGTGTTGACTAACGAGTTACCTTTTATGGAATGATCGATTTCGACTTTGAGACTATCGATAACATAACATTGGGACTGTCAGTGCAAGTAATACCCATCGCAATGCTAAATAAACATGGTCGACTTATAACGTTTTTAAGCAGAACGTAAACATGAACCAAGATAATAGCAGTATGCAAATGGACCCAAAACTGGCGCTGCGTCTTCTCGCCGAGGGGGCCGTGCTCGCCATTACTGGAGTGCCTGTGGGTACCGAATTCGGCATTGATTTGTGTGCATATACCATAGGTCCCGATTTTCGGGGCGTTAAGATGATCCCGCCCGGCCTGCACTATGTGTGGTGTGCATCGCGTGGACCTTACGGCGATACAGCACCACGTGTGGGCTTCGCTCACTATTTTCAAATCAACGAAATTGTCGTGCGCGAATGGGATCACGATCTAGAGGAGCTACGCCCGCGCAAAATAGCCGAACCAGAAGTGGAGCGCGAACGTATACGTAAGAATCTGCCACAGTTGGAGCGTTTGTTGGCACCCTACGATTATCGCTATGTGTGCCAATGGAAAGACCTAACCGGCAGCGTAACAGAATCCTGCGTCGAACGCTGTCAGCCAGCCCTAGGCACTATACGCACCAACATTGAATTACAATCATGCCCAGATGCGGAGAGACCACGTGGCGGTGTCGCCGGTAGCATTAGTAGCAGACGTAACGTAGCCCACAAACTGATGCTGGACGAGAACGACTTACTGCCCGATTTGAAGCCAGTGGAGGGTACAGCGCCACGTTTCACCCCCGTGCCCGCACGGGTGCCGTCGAATGCTCCACCGGCGGATGTCTCAAGACATGCTATAGACTGCATAGACGCCGTTGATGCATTGCTCGAAAGTTTCAATACTGTCGATGCACTCATCGAGGAGTTGCAACTGGCCTTTGTTTTCTTTTTGGTAGGATATTCGGTCGAATCACTGGCCCACTGGCGAAAAATCCTTGCCCTGCTCGCTCACTCGGAGTCGGCGGTAGGTAAACACAAATTGTGTTACATGAAATATAGCGAAGTGTTGGCCCATCAATTGCCGCATTTACCTGAGGAGCTAATCCCGCCCAGTGAGCGTAATACCGTGTACAAAGATGTACGGGAGCTGCTTGTAAATCTGCATGCGGGTGGCTTGAGCGTGAGCGCAGAGCGTCTGATGAAACGCCTAAGTAAGGAGCTGCACTGGCAATTTGAGGGATTGCTTGATGAAGACCCCGATGAACAGCCGGTGGTTATTGAATTGCGCGATGAAGAGCTTCCCGGTAATTATTTTTAAACACAAATGAAATTTCGAGTACAGTACTGAGCCTTTATTTTCTGTTCACAGCCTTAACGCAATGAATGCTGCGTTCGCAAATAGCTCCATAAATCGCGTGCTGTGCGTATACTGACCATAAACTGACACAGTTTGGTCTCTATCAAGCAGAGTATGATGAACTTAGCGCGTTTGTCCTTAAGTATCGACTGCAAATAGGAGGCACATAAAATACGGATATTATACTCCAAAAAAAGGAACAATTACACACTCACCTCCTCAGTGTTCTCTGGACCATGCTCGACAACGCTCCAAAGATCCTCGGATTCCAAATAGGCGCGCACTGTCATCGACCATGCCTTGTAATTGTCCAGACCTTTGAGCTTCTCGATTTGTAACTGCAATGCCATGTCTTGCTGCGGCTCCAGACGTTTCACAAATAAATCGTTACCCGTTCTTTCTATGCCCATTTTTCAGCCTGTCTCTGGTTGTCGATTTTGTGTTGGTAGATTTTCAAATATAGATATAAGTGTAAATACAGTAAAGATTCGCTAATAGCTAACTAATATATTTTATAAACCATTAATTTATTCTGTTTGACTGTTATTCGGCTTGAAAACTTTTGTCTCGAAGCTAGTGTTTCATTTTTGTTCCACTAGGTAACGTTTTAAGCCCAAAAGTTTAATGATTTCTAGAGATTTCTTTTTCAATTCAGCATAAATCAAATTCTTACACAAATGATAGTTTTTATGACGACACAAATTATATTGTAGTGTTCATAATAAAAATTGCATTCGAAGCCTTTTAATTACCAAGTCATATATAATACTATATATAAGTATTTCGAAAAGATCGTATTCTACTTAGAAAAGGTAAACATATGTATTTAAAAAAAAAAAAAACAGACTCCTGCTAAAAGAATGGTTGAAAAGCCATTTCTGTGACATTAAACATCATATCGGGGTCACACTATATCTTTAACTATGGGTCGCATATGTATATTTTTTTTCGTAATGCGCTTTGTCAGTTGCTGAGACAGAGATTGGTTGAATGGGGTGGAGGGGGTTGATGTAAACAATAGCCACTAGACCTAGTTTTGTTCTGGTAATGAAATGTTTTAGCAAAAAGTGCAAGTCGCCTTTGGCTTTGGCATTGAGCCCCAAGTGCTCACTTGGGATATGATGTCAATGACAAGCGATGTGATGACAATGACACTGCCGCAGAAATATCCGCATTCACGATTGTCAGCTGTAGCATCAACATACATACATATGTATGTATATATGTACATGCAACAAGAAATGTGTTAAAGTATGCTTGAAACTAGGGCTGAGGTTAGATTGGCAATTAAATTTTTATCTTTTTAATTCAAGTTTACTCATTCTCTCTCTCTCTCTTACATTTAAAATAGGCCATATACTTTTGTTTACTTGAATTAAAGGGTAATACAATTGCATAGAAAAGTCGTAACAAATTTGAACAAATTTTATTGCAATCAAAATATTTTGTACAAAAGATTTCTACAAGATCTTATACTTAAAACGAGGATTATGTTTTGTAACTTCTTGCAATATGTGCGTATTTCGAAATGCAGCGCCTGGTGTAAAAACGCCGCCTCTAAAAGAGACACAAAATTATAAAATATACAACTTAAAATGCTTCGAATTGTTGCTTACTTCCCGGGCAAATCGTCGGTCTGTTTTAGAACAGTAATGGCACTCGAAAGCAAAGCTACACAACCAACGCCGAAAAATGGATTCATACCGCAGATTTTGACTTTTAACGTTTTCTCAAACTGCTCCACAGTTGTTTTTCCAGTTGTGGGAGAAGAGCAGCGAGGACTGGGACCTGAGACCACCAACGATTCACCATCGCGATTAATTGAAACGCGCGGTAGGGTGCACCCAGTGGCCTTGAAAGTTACAGAAAAAACAAATTTCTCTGCAGCATCTTTCTCAATGCACTGCTCCGAGCACATTCCCAGGGAGAAGAGTCGTGGATACTTTAATAGGAATTCGCGTGTACCCGGCGTTTGAGCCAAAATAAAAATCACGACACACCAGATGAGCGCGAGAAAGGCAATAAAGTATGTGCTGTGGATGCATTAAAAGTTATATTTTATATGGATATAGAGGAAACCAATATTTAGTTAGATATGTGTATATTTATACGAACGGGAAGGTAATGTAGTTCCTAAACTGTATCGGCGGCTTATCTTCATTGTGGCTTATGAAGTCTTGTGAGGCTTTAACGGCTTGAGCATCAATTAGGGGCTGTGGAATGGCTACGCCGGTAACAACATCCGATTGCCCAATTGGGGATCTGTAGCAGAGTTTTGGAACAGATCGCACATTGGTAGTGATGGCGCTGAGCACACAAGCTGTTGGCGCAGTATATTTATTACAATCGGATATCAGTTCCCTGGCATTGGCCATAGTCGCAATAATAGTATTCCAAGTAGCACAATTAACGAGCGGTACAAATCTGCGACTATCTAGATGACAGTACTGCGAATATGCCTCGACAGTGTGAACTCTACCTGCGATGGAGTGGGCGACCAGTAACTTATAAATTAATTGCATGTAGACTTACCTATAAAGTGGCGTTCAATAAAATTAATGCCCACATCAACAACGAAGCTGAAAAACCCGCACGAGGTTATAACGTATATCTTTTCCGACTCGGCATCGGTATGAAACTGTGCCCGCACCTGCTTCAGAAAGCAAGGCTCGATGCTAGCGTCTATATAGTGGGTAGCGGCTGCGATGCAGGCTTCTATAACGGCGGGGGCATGCTCCTCGTAGGGACCACAGCAGTTGATGATGAGCTACTGGTTTAATCACGCATTAATAAGAAGATATATTATTGTCAGACCACAGATATACTTGACACCCTTGTGCCATCTTAAACAGCGCCTCCTTGTCGTTTGCGTCGGCTATAATTATGGGTATGTCATCACAATTTTGGTCTGTTAGGGCACGAACATTTCGCAAAACAGCTTCCAGGTTTCTCTAGTGGAACCGGCAAAAATATAAATATGGCAATATAGATTTATTTAATCGGACTCTCACTTTACTACGCCCCGCTATTCCCCATTTGAAGCCTTGCAACACGCTTGTGGCATGCAGTACTGTGTAGCTCCCTAATGCGCCAGTTGCTCCAAATATTATTATATCTATTGATCGCTCTGTTTGAGCCGACTTAGAGTTTTCGTACTCGTGCGTCGATCGCTTACGATCTGTAGATTTTCTTGGTTTTTCAGTGCTGACTTCCTCATCTGCGTCTTTTAAATGTGTATCCCTTTTCGTAATGCTGCCATTCCGTTTACCTGAATCGTTCTCTGTGTCCGCTTTTGAGTTTTCGTTCTCAAGTGTCGATCGCCTACGATCTTTAGATTTTCTTGACATTTCAGTCCTAACTCCCTCTTCCTCTGTTTTTTCGTTCTCAAGGTTTGATAGCTTACGATCTCCAGATTTGCTTGGCCTTTCAGTCGTATCTTCATCTTCCTCCTTTTTTGAATAGGTATCGGTTTTCGAAAAGCTCCGTCTATCGGAATCTAACTCTTTACCCTCCTCGTCAACTTTAAAGGATGTTCTACTTTTGTGCCTAGAGTGTCTTTTGTGGGAACCGGAATTGCTCAATCCTAAGGCAGTGCCTCTGGGTTTGCTTTTAGAACGTCGCGTTTCTTCTTCAGCTATGCTGTTATCAGTGTATTGGGAATTCGTAAACGAGACCCGTTTTTCTGGGAAATGTAAATGTAAATAATAAAAATAAACAAATTAATTTTAAAAATGTACTTATAAACGGTACTTTCTTAAATCGAACACATTTTCAAATATTTCCAGGGAAGGGCGATGGTAGTTATTTCGAACATATATTCGAATATTTCCCCAGCTGGGAACAGCGATAACAGTTGATAGTTCGAAAGAAGAGGAAAGTCATCGATTCATCGACTACCAAATATTTATCGGAACGTGTCTAACACCTACGATTACAATGCATTTCCATTTAAAATTTATACGTGCTTTAGTTCTCGAGATTTTAGTAAATCGTTGAAAACAGCCGCAGAGGCAAGAACACTTGGGTGTGAATAAAAAGGAAATTCACAAAATGAGATTTTCGCTGTTTATCGTAACGGTAACGGTGCTGGCAACAATCACAGGTGCTGTAAACGCCGGTGGAAGCGGTGCTGGACCTCCTACCGAAAACCAAACAATAGCAGCAGAATTCGTGGCCACGAGTGAGTGGCAAGTGGTAGGCGATGGTATTTCGTGTCTTATTGCAAGCGCGTGCTGATATTAATGTTAACATTTTCTCCAGATCAAGCCATACCTCGAGGACTACATGTGCGGATAAACTTGCAGACGGGAGTTAAGGAGGCGAAATTGTTAGAAGAAGATAAACGTGGAACACAGATACAAAGCGTGTCTAATAATCACGACGACGACAATGCGGCGCTCGCGATTGATTACAAACCAGACATAATTGAGCAGTCGCTCCAGAAGGCAAAAGAAAGGAAACAATATATGGAACTTCGAAAGGCGTATAAGGAGCTTGAAAAGAATTTCCGAACCGATGGCGAGATTATCGTGCAGCTTTTAGGCCAGTACCAAAACTTTAGCAAGTCTCCAATTGGAGCCGATTCTGAGCTGAAAGCCAAACTAAAGTCTTTGGAAAATCTTGAGTACTTGCTGCATCAAATCGACAACGCCTTGGTTTTTATTGACAGCGGAGGCTTGGACATAATATTACTGCCTATTGTGGTGAACGAAACGAACATTGCATTACGAGTATCAGCTATGCGGGTATTGGGTGCACTTGCTGGCAACAATCCGAAAGCACAAATTAAAGTCTTCGAACGCAATTTTGGTTCTCACTTGGCTCAAGTTCTAATGACATCTTCAAACCGGGAAGAGCTTTCGGCGGCAATGCATGCGTTTGGGACATTGTTGCGGAAGTTTCCCTTGGCACAGCATGTTTTATCCACATCCGGCACTCAAGCGTTAATTGGCGTGGTACGCAGCGATAATGTAGAGCTACGGACGAAGGCGAAAGCTGTTACCTTGATTAGTGACTTGGTGCTGGAAAAGCGTATGGTGCTGGAATCCAACAATGCTCAAGGAGCAGATGCCTCGACTATAGCGCAATATATGCGTTTAGAGTTCGAGCCGTGGCTGCAAACGCATGGGTATTGCACAGTGATGGAGACGGTGATAGCTAAGCAATTTGCTGAATTAATTCAACAGCCTAATATTGTGGAACAGTTTGCAGTCGCGCTAGAGAATACTGCCGGACTTTGCCAGTCGGTCTGGTCGCAAAGTCCGCTCTTACGGCATGCATTGCTAACAATACGAAATCATTTTGCACACAGCGAAGATGAGTACCATGTTGAGATTTCGGAAATAGTAGCCAAAATTTGTCTCAAATTCTATGGCAAGCATAAACCTCATAGCGAGCTTTGAATTGACTTCCATATTATTCGCTAATATTAATAGTAAAACATGATCTTATTGTGAAAATTTTAAATTTAAGAGCAGGCCTGCCCACAGTTGTCATGTAAATATAGTCTACACAGACCAACATGGTCCTATCGCATTAGATTATTTAACTATTAAACAATATTTTAAATATATGTTTATGTAAATATATATTGCAATCCTACTGCACAAGGATAAACTGACCTGCGCCTGTTATGTATGAGAAACAAGCTGAGAAGCAAGAGGGGATCTTTTTCGGCATTTTCCAGTTTTTTGGATCTGCTTGCGATGGTCCGGTTCCTGAAAAGCACTTATTTTTGATTTTTTGAAAACATAATCCAACGTTTTTACTAAATGATTTGTTTTATAAATTTCAAAATAGATGACTAGATGAATTCGATTTAGAAACTTGAGCATGACAGTATTACGTATGTAATACTTAGCTATTTTTCCGCCATTTCTAGAGTTTCTTAAAACGCCGGTTAACAAAACAAGTAGGGGCTGATGGAAATGATAGGCTTATATCTTATAAAAAAGAATAACTCCTTGCTTAATGTTTCTTGAACTAGTTACGTGTACCATCATACTTACAGTGTATTCGGTGTACAGTGTATTTTTAATTCGGCGTGTCATTTAAAAGCTTATAACACGAAATTGGAAGCAGATCAGATATCATGTAGCAGAAATTGGAACGATATTTTTTAAATAAAAATATTGGCTTTAAATTATTATTTATTTATTAATGTCAACAAACATCTAATTAACGCCTCCGACCCGGTGGCGGAATATTATTTGCCCTTCGGATTATTTCAAATTTGCAGCCATGTTGCCAATATTACAAGTGCGATTTAAGAATAATAACAGTTATGAACGTATTGGTAGAAATCTAGCTTGCCATAACGAAACGAAAGAGTTTGTAAAGTTTAATAAGTTAGTTGCTCTGCAGGAAAGTTTAAGTATTATATTTAAAAAATTGTATATTTACTAGTTTTATAATAATTATGTTTTTGTTTTATCTTTTTTGAATTACTTAGTTGATGAAATAGAAATACTAAAGCTAAGACAAATGTTATATTTTTAATTCGATCTTTTATATTTTGGTTCTTTTTACATGCTTTAAAATTAAGCTAATCATCTTTTGGATTTTAGTACTGACTAAAAATAAAAATAAACAGCTTCATATTTTCATGAACGACAACCTTTTGGCCATAAATGTCCTCGACAATAGCCTAAATTTCGGATAATTATCTCCTCAGGCATTGAAATATCTTTGTTGGTGTGATACGCTTTGAATTCATTCTTCATAGTATAAGGTATAAGAAAGAAACCAATAAGGGTGGTGATTAGAGAGCTATTGTCGACCATTTTCAATTCCAGCACTCTATGTTATTCCCATTAACACGCAACTAAAGCACGTCTTGGTGTTCCCAGGACGCTTAATCGTTGCTAGGAGCAATTCAAACGTAAACAGAGAACATTAAAGTAACTCCACAGCGGCACATAAACAAGCTAATTGGGAAAAGTTTAGTTGAGCGGCAACTTTCCAGTGGGAACGGGAATGTCTATAAACAAACTACCATTACCAAATATCAGCCATACATGCATATATATGTGGACAACATAAATGTACATACATTTGTGTATCCACATACATACTTACATATAGTACATACTTGTACATATCTACACACATATATCACAAAGCCATTGAGCGTCGCCGCTTGAGCACGGGCGCGTGCGCAGTAGTCGCTACAGAGGCCGTCGTCATAGTATCTGCTTTCAACCACTGCTTACCGCCGTAGTTGTTTTCCGTTTTTTTGTTGTTGTTGCTGTTATTGTTGTAAGAGCTTCAATCGAAACGCTTGACGAGTGATGTGGAAACATTTTCAACACAACCGGCGGCAATGGCAACAAAACATAAAGTAAAAGCAAAGCAACGCGAAACGTAACTTTCCGAGTCTCTTGTTATGTGTATACATCCATATGTACATATGTATGTATGTACGTATGTATGTATGTGTGGAGAGCGCTTCAAGTCTGGCCAAAACAGAAACAACAACAATAATAAGAAGAGCTTGGAAAACGCACCGGCATAGTCGGGTCTTGCTGTTGCTTCGTTGTTAAGGGGTATTCCCTGCTTTGGCAACGTTATGGAAAATCAGTTATTGTTTTGAGCGTGTGGCAGCATGTAGTAATGACAACAGATCGGATACAAAACATTTCGAAACAATTTGAAAATTAATTGTCCATGATCATATGTAAATTGACAAACAATTTGTTGTGCTCGTTTGTAAAAAAGAAGAGTGAATGAAGTGAAAATAGAAAGAAAAATAATTACTGAAGCAATTGTGTGCAGCAAGCTAAAACGCGGCAATATTGTTTAACACAAGTACTATAGCTAGAATTTCGAAATAATTCATCTGCTATATTAAATATTAAGTGCTTCAAACGGCTCCATTCTAAAATTCCTATATGTGAAAATATACTTAGTATGTGTGTAGTACATGCCTTTTCATATATTAGCTTTGCGTTTGTTTGTTTTTTGCTCTAAGCAACTACATACGAGTACATAAGTGATAAAATAGCTACCGGAATTTTGTTTTGGAATAAATTTAAAACCAGCAACGACGAGTATTGGAAAATGAAAAGAGTTGCACGGGTCGATGACTCGCTTGTGCGCTTCCGGTCAAGGCGTTTTCATTTTCGCCGTGGGCCACACATATTTTGCATTTAACATGCACAGTTTTTAGCTTACTTATGTACTTGTATGTGCCATGCATAAGTGTGCTGTCCCATAAATCTATCTTTACATACCAACGCCACCTGAAGTGTCCGCAAACTTATAACCCCCCGGCTGGCTAAGAAAAACGTGAGACCATATCGGAACTTGCAACAACAAAAGTACTAACAAACGGAACAATAGTGAGGAGTTGGTTCCTTTTGCTTGAAAGCATTCCTATCTTCTTCTGTTACCTTACTTTCTTTGGAAAACATTGAAGAAAGCCCACGCCCACGCCTGTGTGTACTTTTCATTTCTTCTTCATGGCTCATGAACTTTTCTTATCAGAACTCCCCGGATCTGCATAAATGGAAATAAACATATATTGCGAGCGCTTTTTACTGGCACATCAGTGATTAAATATTCCAAAATGTCTAAAAGAGAATTGTAGCAAAGAAAAAGATACAAATTTGCAACCACTTTTCAAACAATTGTTTTTTCTTTTCAAATAAAGATATACAAAATGTTCAATTTATTTCAGTTTTAGTTCAAACTGGTTCCGAATTCAAATGGTCTGAAATCGAAATTTATTTATTTTTTTAAGGAAAGTGGTACATTGCGTGTTAAAGGCACCAAATTCAATTCTGGTTGACTGCGGAAAGAGAAACAGGCCCAATTCATCTTACAATAAATAATTCTAATAGTTTTCAAACAGTTAATGTGTTAATTACACTAAAAACTTGTGAAGACGCGGGTGTATAACATAACAAGATTCTCAAAATCCACTAATTGTCTAAAAAAAAAACCACATATGTGAATGTAACTCCAATATCGGTCCAAAATGCTTGGAAGTATAAGGCATGAGCTATGGATGTACATCTTCTATGCAATTATTTTAGCTTTACAAAGTAAGTTCTGAATCAAATTCATAATATTATTACCAAATAGAATAAGTAGAATATCGTGCAAGCAAACACAGAATGAACGAAATGAAGACCATACTTTTTTTATATGGCCGAAGCCACTTAAGCCAACTATATTGTTAGTGTGTTATTGTTAAAGCCAAGAAAATAAGTCCATCAACGGCGTTCTGGTCTAATGGCTTCTCAGGAAAGAACGATGCCAAAGCAAAGAAGCATATTGCTGGTGCATGTTGAAGGCTCTTAATATGCTCTTAATTTTTAGAGCAATCAATCCGAATTGGAACAAAGTTGTTTATTAAATTATTTACAAAGTATTCTACTCGAGTGGTTCAATTTCAAGTTCCATTTAGTAAAATAATTCGTTTTATTAGAATGTCATACATCGCTGATATTAATGTGAAGACCTTACTAGAATATAATATTTCTTATGGTTGTGGAAATATTACACAAGCGCTCAAAATGAGCAAAATAATTCCTTTGAATCCAATAATAGTCAGCAACATTTTGTCTCCATTGTTTTAAAAGTCAATTTGACAAACGAAAGCGTCGAATCAGTTTAAAAATAACTCTGTAAGATGAAAATCGTTAAGTCCATTTGACATCGCCCCTCAGCATCTCAACATCAGAAAGACGTCTTATTTTGAAAAGAAATTATGCAGCACAACCCATTACGACCGATACACTGATCGACATGGTCATACCTGATATGATATAATAAAAATAAAAAGACACTTTCGTTTTAGCGTACAAAGTAGCATACATTTTGAAACTTTCAGTTCCACGTCGCACGTCTTAACCATTCATCTTTTTGTAGATGTAGTTTCTCTGTTGCACAATTTAATCAGCCCACAACTCATAATTTCAGCTTAAGTTAGAGTTAACTTATTAGGAAACTATTTACCTAGTTATGGAACGGAAATTCTAGTTCACATTCATACTGATGTGTTCTAATTTAAATCTCCAGTGTAATGACAGAACAAATGTTCCAAATATAAGCAAATAAATTGTCAACCACTGTCCCCTTTTGTCATATGCATTGCTCAATGCCCCAACAATTAACCCAAAAAGCAGATCTTTAAATGAAGAGACGTGCCAAGTTACAAGATTTCACTAAGACAGCTTTTTAAGTATCTTTGTACATACTATCATATAGTACGAGTATGTTTGTAGTTTCTTCTTGATATACATACATGTGCTCGTCATTTATAAGAAAATAAAGAGAAATCTTTAGCGGGTTGACAAATTTCTTTATACATATAGAAATTACTAAATATATGTTATTCAATGAACTTTGAGTTTGTAGGACTTAAATAAATACTTGGAGTAATTTCACTATTCATATATAAATGGCTAAAGCAGATAAAAAGTTGACTGCTTTTAGAAATACATATATAGGATATGCTTAATTAATAAGTAGAAAGCAAAATTACGGTTGAATACTGTAAAGTTAGGGTCAAACATGCAAATAATTTGCACACAATTCTCAATTAAATTCCGAAGAAGTTGATAGTTGCTGAAACCTATATTTTAGCATAAAAGTCTTTTTGGTTTTAATTGAAGTAACATGTTATACCTGCACATTATTTGTCTATCTGAGCATAGCCCAAGGCGCCTTACAGCTCCAAATGCATTCAGTGGGAGCAAACATTTGCCATGACTCAGTCGGCCAAGTCGAAATTATAGCGAACTATTTGCAAAAAAGGGAAAAATCGGAAGCTTAGTAGACCGTGTCCGCTGACTAAGACAAGACGGGCAGTAGTGTGGCGTCTTTGTTTTGGACATGCTCTTGTTGTTCCAATTTACTTTTAACACACACACACATTAAATAAACGAAAAAAAGAAGTGGTCTTGAAAACGAAATGAGTGTATTTAGTGTTAGTATATATCTATGTAGTAGTTTGTATGTACGTAATGCTCCTATCTAGTATGTTTGTTTGTACGATATTCCCATTCATTGCAGCGACGGAAAGTGCGATACTCGACTCGCGTTGCTACCTCGAGGGTGGCGGCTCGGCAGAGAGCTTTCTGGCAACAGAAGACCTCGCAGTCGGCTCTGTTATTGGCAAGTTGCGTATTAACGGTAATGCCAACGATAACGGCGATATCCATTTGTCACTGCGCGAGAAAGATTCGCCCGTGGAGATCAATTTGGCCACAAAGGAGTTGGTGCTATCAGTTGAGCTCGACAAGGAAGGCTTACGGGGGCCGTCGTCGATTTATGTGAATGTTATATGCACGAGAAGACATTCAACGGATCCGGTAAGAGAGTACACAACATTAAAAAACAACAATTTGCGATTTCAGAAACCCCTTTCCAATAATATTTTGAGCACAATGTTGTCATAATTAATTTCCAATTTCCTTGCTTGATCATTAAATAGAAGTTGCAGATTAGCTGCTTATGGCTGAACATTTACTTAACTTCCAGCAATAAAATGCCTGGATAAATCAAGTTTCTTGAGTTTTGTTTATATATAAAATATAAAATATTAAATTTAGCAATAACAATATAAATAAATAACTATGGGCAGATTTTAAAAATTGGAGTTCGTAACACAGGTATTCATTTTATTTATACGATATACGATATATTCTATACGAGTAATAGAAAGCAGGTAATATTTTGTTTTCGTAAAATAATTTGGTTACTTTTTTGATTGGATCATAAATGATAAACACAGCCTTCTGCAGAATAATGAACAAACACGTTTCCAGCTTTATAAAAACTAAGCATAGTAGAAGTTCATCCAATACCACTACCAATAATAATTTACAAATCTAAACAGATTAATCTATTTCATTTGAAAAAGATAAATAAATTACAAATCCAGATCAGTTGATTAAATGGCAAAAAATAAATTAAATCAACTAATAAGGTGACCAATTTATTTTCTGCAAGGAAAACGGGCTATACTATATTCATTCTAATCAGCGGACGTATGTAAATTCAAATTGCTTACGGACTTTATATCTTGCAATTCTTGTAATTATATCTATTTTTAAAGATTTAATCTTAATTAAAACTATTTTTCTAAAAAATTAGAAAATTAAATATTATTTAATAAAAATAAACATTGGAATATGAAAAGGCCTTTGGAAATTCTCGCAATTAGTAAAATTTCAACACTAATTCTCTATAGGTTAGAAGAAATAGAAGAATGTTTTCAATATTTGTATCTTTACTTTGGAAATTGGCTCCAGAATCAAGAGCTCTTAGTCAAATTTTGTATCTTAAAGTAAAGATTTTGGAACTACACATCTGTTTTTGGCCAATATGATGTATTAATTTCTTGCTGCGATGAGAGAAATAACGAAATAAATTTAACCCATAGTTTAATGTTGTGATTAAACAATTGGAAGAAACAAATTTCAAGCATACTTTTCTGGTTTAGTTTTAACTTCATTGTTAATGACTAACCAATTAACCCAAATAAGTGTATGGAGTGCGCCCATAGCTTGTAAGAAAACTTCAATTCATTTTTACCGACTTGTGTTTGGGGAACAAACTAGAGCTGTGCGCGTGACTTAAAATGCACATTCCTTAAATCAATTTCATGTCACTATTACGAATTCCACTAAGTTTTTTGTCCCCACATGACCACAAATGAATGGAATTTTATATTTGTTTTATATTTATATTTGGCTGCCAAAAGTTTTAAAATTTAGTAACTTTTCATCATTATTTTCATTTGTGTTATATATTTGTTTTTGGTATTATTGTATTTGTATTGAGCACTAAATTTCTGGTTTTCGAAAACTCTTGGTAGTTTCTCTACCTCATTGACATTTGATTCCTATTGCGATACGGGTATCTTAAACTTTTTCTCATAACTCAGTGTGTTATCAATAATTTTATAACTTAATAATTTTATAACTTTCGTGAAGTCTCGGGACTTGTCAGGGAGTCACGATCACGCATGCATTCGTGCACACCTCTAGCAGAAATTTCATTGTGTAGAACGGTACTTATGTACCCAACACCCAACACTCGCATACATACAGGGTGTGTATGGATGTATTTACATGCATACATACATACATACCCGAGCACGCACTGTCGACACTTGTACGTACGTACTTTTGTATGGATGACTGTGTGAGCACTCTTTTGCACGAAAGTTTTCATTGCGCATACGTATGTTTGCGGTACTCGAGAGCTTAGTTAAAAAGTAAAAACTTATCCTTTTAGACAATGTTGACGCCTATTTCAATTTTAGAGTAAACAAAGCTTTACTTGCACTTCGTGTGAGGGGTTGTGGCGCCGCATGCGGTTGGGTGGTTCAGTGAAGCGAGTGGCCATAAATTAGCCATTAGTACTTCCGCAAAAAAAGTTGAGGGCTTGAGGGCCTAAGACCCCATTTAAATACATATCTACACACTACATACATATGGACATACATACATATATATAAATGTATGTTAAGCTAAACATGCAAAGATATGCAAGTTTTTGTAGGCATGCAGCTTTTCTGTTAATACATACATGCATGGATACATACATATGTATGTATATATATGTATGTATGTATATATAGTTTAAGGTAGAAAGGACGTCACATTTTTTTGAAAAAACGTTGGTCAGGGGATTGGGGGCAGAAGACGCTAAAATACGGCACTTTGAACTCGTGCGGAGGTCACTGACCAGTAAAGCAGTAAAGTAACGCTTGTTTGGCAGCCAAACACACGACCTCACAGTGTTTACATTCTGAGGTTTGCTGGGCTTGTTAGTTAGGCCGTTTAATTACAATACAATTCTCAGCTTACGCATTTCGTTCATCCTACAGAGTTTCGTCATCCCCGTGAATGTGCGCGTTACAGACGTTAATGACAATGCGCCACAATGGATTGGAACACCCTACACTCTTACTTTGTCGGAGGTAACGGTGCCGGGCACACGAATATTACAGGGTGCACATGCGGAGGATGCGGATCAGCCGGGGCCCTTCTCTACTGTTGAGTATCAAGTATTGCCGGGTCCGTATGCCGAATATGTACAGTTCCTTAATCCCCTGGAGGGCACTCTTGTGCTAAAGAAACCCCTCGATTACGAGACTATGAAGAACTTTACGGTGAATTTGCGAGTGCAAGATCAGGGTGTGCCTCCGCGATACTCCGATACGCTGCTGCGCGTGGTCATAACCGATGCTGATGACCAGAATCCCAGATTTCAGCGCGAGAGCTACAGCGGTGAACTGCCCTTAGATGGGCGGCCCGGAGAACTGCGAATACGGCCAGAGCCTATTAAGGCCGTTGATCAAGATGAGGGTATTTGTGCGCCCATACAGTACACAATTGTTCAGTCGCAGGATGCAAAATATTTTCGCATCCATCCACACAACGGTGTCATCACACTCCTAACCCCAATAGGCTATACGGATCTTAACCACGGCGCCACGTTGGTGGTGAAGGCAACTCAGATCGATAACCCGGACCGCTATGCATTAGCTACTGTCCAGTTAACCCGACCGGGCACTCATAGCGACATGAGCGCCCTTTCTTTTGTCCAAAAGCGATTTGTTATGCGGATTCGGGAGGACACAGCCGTGGGAAATCGTATACTGGCCTTGCCTACAAACAAGCCGGGAAAGCATTTAAAATACATCATACCGGATCCGGTCAATTCACAATTTTTTAATGTGGGCTCACTGGGAGAAGTGGTGCTTGCGAAGCCTCTGGACTATGAGAAGATGACAAAGCACGAGTTCCAAGTAAAGCTTTATCCAATAATGTAGTCCTACGTCTTAAACCATAATTTATTTTCAGGTTATGGCTACTGATGGTATGTCCAACAGCACGGCAGAGCTCACGTTGGAGGTGATCGATGTGAATGACTGGGAGCCGCGCTTTCGGGAAACCCACTATGAATTCGTAGTACCCAAGAAGGTGGGTTCTAGACCAACAATACAATGTTGATCCCCTTTCAAAATTGGTATTTTTCTAACAGTTGGTACAGTCGCCTACGGATACCTTTGAGGGCGTCATGATCGGCAAAGTGGAGGCGGCCGATGGCGATCGAAATGACAAATTGGAGCTGTCGTTGAGGGGCCAACACGCTGGAATATTCGAAATCGACGCAATGGGTAACATCTACATGAGGGCGGAGCAGTTGCAGAACCTTAACGAGTCCACAGTCCACTTGATTGCCATTGCCACGGATACTGGAGTGCCTCCGCGCAGCACGTCTGTTCCTGTTACCGTTACTATGGAAGGTTTGACATTAGCGCAATCATCGTGGATGTGGAACAAGAGCATGCTTGGTATGTTCGGCATGATCGTTGGCCTCTTTCTGATGATTATTGTTGCACTAAGCTGCTACATTGTGCGCACCAAGAAGCAGCGCAAGACCAGCCCCGCAGTTGGCCGGAATCGGGTGCACAGCCAAGTCTCTTCGGCCAATCTGATGACGCATGAGAAGTTGTCCGGAAACGGCGTCACAGTTAGCAGCGGAGGAGTTTCTGTTCTTCACATGAAGCACGGCGGCAACGTTACTATGTCCAGTCCCATGAACAATGGACTCCATCATGTGGCCTCTGGAGCGAGTAGCAGTATGACGTTGGGGGAACGCGATCGCCAACGGGAGAGCTACGCGGCGACTGTACGCAGTAAGTTCGTCCAATCCAAATATGAAACAGTTAATTATAAATAATTTGTCTTTAAGGCATTGTTTCACGTGCTTCCGCAAATGGACAACTCTTTGAGGAGGACGAAATCGAGCATGATTCGCTTTCCCAACAGGGACAGATAACGCCGGAAAATAACAATAAGAAGGCATCCGCATGGCAGGCGCAAGCCGATTGTGGTCCTGCTGTCGTCACAACATCCTCAGCAAATAACAACTCCAATCTTCTGGCAGCCACTGATGCTATGGGCTCGTCAGAGAATAATTTAACAGTTTACTTCTAAGTTTGCTTAACTAGCTTAGTTAGTTTAGGGCTGTACATATTTAATTATTAAATAGGATGATAAAGTCGCGTAAGTTATGCCACTCTGTAAATTTAGTAGACCAAATATAGTATTGTAAAGAACTGTGTAGGCCGATTTCTTCGAAAGTTCATTATCAGTTTAAGAATAAACATAAAATATTTTATATTTTTAAATGAGCCACAAAAAGTACTCAATTGGTTGTTGAATCATTTAAACCACAGTAGGTGCAGAATAATTCCTTGGATTTTCGAGAGGTCTGCCGATGTTTGTCTTCATAATTTTCACACTCTCTTTGGAGAACAACTCTTAGTACCAAAATCGACGCATAAATGAAACAATTAATTGGTATTTGTATGCACTCCTTTTTTAAATAATAATCTTTTAGAATATATAAATGCTTAAACACTAGAATGATCTGTAAACAGATCCTGACAACTTTGGTGTGAAATCAAATTTATATCGGATAATGGTAAACATTATGTAACGACATGACACTGCGTGAATCAGCTTAGCTTAACTATTTAATTTTACAGCATGATATGGGAACACAACACAAAGGGGGAATTAAATAAAAAATATTAAACAGATTTTGACGGCACTACGGAAATGTGCTGAAATTTTTTAGTTATCTTTTAACTGCCGTTACGTATTTTTTTCCTTTTTAGTAAATTGAAATTTCCGTATTTAGTATGATGATCGGTTAGGAAGGGTATGTAGAAAGAACGCAGGAACTTGTGTGACTTTTCCTGTATTAAAAAGGGTAAACTCTTCAATATTGTCCAATCCTTAGTACGCTTTGAATAGTTCGGTTCTAAGGACGTGTATTTACCATCATCGAAATCGACTAGAAAATGACACTGTTCATAGTTAAAATACATGCGTTCGTCTTCTTGATTCATATCGTTAAAGTAGGGGTGGACTATCTGTGTGGCGTTGGGTCCATCAGAATAATATGCGGGCAACATGCCACGGAATTCGGACTTCAGGAAGCGAAGACGGAAGTTTGGCGCAGGCAGGAAAAAGCTGCCTGGATAGCGATACCAATCCTTACCAATACACACATTATATATCTCGTCTGCCCGATACTGTGGCGTAGTTTTAAACTGGTTTAGTTCCATCATCAGATCCATTGGCGCATGATAGTTACGATAGAGTGCAAAGACGCGTGAGAGCCCCATTAGCGTACTGGCCACCATAACCACAATGGCGATGAACATACTGTGGTCAAGGTAATGGGCGCCAGCCTTGACCTTGAATACCAGCGATTTAAAGCGGAAAAAGATTCGCTGATAAACATCGACGGTTATAGCTCCGCACAACGATATGAGAGGGTATACTGGGAATAGGAAACGTTCCTCCTTGTGCGGCTGTACGAAGAAGACAATCAACCAAATATACAAAGGGGCTAGCGATATGTAGTGTGGAAAGTTTAAAGTTGATTTCGACTTAGCAGGGACTATCAAGGAGTCCATAATCAGCATAAGTGGCAGCTGTAGAGCCAGTAACTGTGAAGATACCACAGTGTGAAGAAAATTTTAATACAATCCAAAGCATGTAGCTTACCCATATAATGTTGAAGTTTAAAAATCCATTGATAATATAATAGCTCACAGGTTCAGTTCCAAATATATTAGGGCCATGACTGGTAAACACATTGTACCAAACAATGTTCAGTGGCGCAAATGTCAACTTTCCAAAATAACTCGTATCGATGGCTATCATGGGCAGCGCAATGGTGACCGCCGATATAAGCGTCCACTGCGCAAAGGTACGCCAGTCCCGTTGACGCAGCAACATTTCCAGAGCAAGGGGCACACCGATCAGTGCCGCAAACGGCCAGCCGAGAAGTGCTGAAATAGCAGTGAGAAAAATAGCTAGACTGTAACGTTGCCGCCACCAGGCAGCCAACGCAGCACATCCGAAGTACATGGAGAAGGACGAAGGTAAGAGAGCAGTACTGGAAACGAACATTCCGACGCTGAACAGTTGAAATATTAGCCACAGACGACCAATGTGAATACCGAACTCTTGGCAAATCGATCTACAAGTAAACAATAAGTTTATTTTACTTCGCCACTTCGCTGTTCTGAATGGCCCTCTTACTTGTACATGAAACGCTCCATGACGGCGCAGCCGAATCCCAACATACAACGAACCATATAGAAAATAAGTATTGGACTGGGATTAAACAACTTCTGATAGATCCAGCCCGGCACGCCCTGTAACAGAAGATAGGTGTAGGAGCGTAGGCCGAACTGGGGACTGTATTCCCACGTTTGTAGCCCATGGCCATTGATAATGTAGTGCAAGGGCTCCCAGTAGTTAAAAGTCTCGTCGCAGTCAGATATGTATGCCCAGATAGCACTACAAAGACGCGCGCTCACAAAAGTCTTAAAGGCCGTGTGAACACTCGGCATTGCGTTTGCCTTATCCCCCGCAGACGCTGCATTACTAAGAATAGGAGTTTGTTTCCTGCAAAATGTACAATACACATGCATATATTATAATGTTTAAATGCATATACATACAATGTACATATTTATGCATGGTGCATAATTTACCGTTTTTTGCTATCCTTGCTTTTCTTTTTGCCGGTACCGGCGAGACCGTTTAGTTTGGGAGGCTTTTTAGTGATTTGATTGTCCGATTTGTTGGCATTATAACGCGCCCGAGCTGCTGGTGGTGACATGTTCACAACCCCTTTCTCAACTTTTGGCCAGGACAATTTGTTTTTGTTATTATTTTCCCGATCTGTATTTATAGGAGTAGCTATGATGATAAGAAAAAACCATCGATATTTTTTCTACGATGTTTCGCATATACGATAGTTATCGACAGAGCTCATGCCGAGCTGTTTCTGTGACTGAGCTAAACGGTGACCAGTGCTGTCATTTTAGTTTTTTTCCCGCTAGATCTGACTTTTTTTAATGCCAGTGCGGGAAATATTCGAAAATAGCGGGTTGCGGGAATTCCAGCTTGAAAAAATTTATTTAGCCTTTTTCTAGCTTTACTTTATTTTATCCAAATCTATCCAAATCACCTCCAGGCTCTAGCATAAGACGTTTTTTTCTTCTTCGCTGCGTTAAGATAAGTCTAAAGTGCCAACTTTGCACTGCAAAGCAAAGTGTTCGCGAAGTGGAGCGGGTCTTCAGCCAAGTGAACTTAGTTAAATCCAAATTAAGAAATGCGATGAATTTAAATACGCTTAATTCCAATTTAAGCTTTAGTTACGTTTTTGTAAGCAAAAAAAAAAAAAAAATTATATTAATTATATTAATTCATTTTCAATTTAAGATACGGTCTTAATCGTAACACCAAAATTATCCTAACGAAGAGGCAGTGAGTTCAGATGAACAACTGTAGAATTTTTAGCTTGATTTTAATGTGAATTTTCTATTTTTTTTTACAAGAATCTCATATTAATTTTATAAATTATGAATTAAGAATATAGAATTAATATGAAAACATTAAAACAGATATGTATATGTATCGATTTAACAAAGAAAATAGTGTTTTTAAGCCGGCTTGTTTTTTAGCTTATTTTGCCTTGGATTTAGTTTTTTTAGCTTTATTTTTTTGGCAATCTAGCTGTTTTTGATCAAAAAATTATGACAGCACTGACCTTGACCATTTATGGCGGGTTCAATTTGCTTATTGTGCCCAAACACCTGGTGGTGAAATGCTTGCAATCATTTTAAAAATAAAAAAAAATTAAAATATATCTCGATCTGCAGTTATGATGATAAGAAATACCATCGATGTTTTCAATACGATTGCTATCGTTAGAGCTCGAGTGTCACGCTGATTCTGTGTCAGCACTAAACGGTGACAATTTATTGCGGTTCCGTTTTGTTTATGTGAAAGCAAGATGTCTAAAGACGATAAAGAAAAGACACAAATTATCGACAAAGACTTGGACCTTTCCAATGCGGGGCGTGGTGTTTGGCTGGTTAAGGTACCCAAATATATTGCGCAAAAATGGGAGAAGGCACCATCCAACATGGATGTGGGAAAACTCAGAATAAGCAAGACACCGGGACAGAAAGCGCAAGTCTCGCTTTCGCTAACGCCATCGGTTCTTGCTCTAGATCCAGAAAAGAAAATACCCACAGAACATGTTTTGGACGTGTCCCAGGTGACGAAGCAAACTCTTGGTGTTTTCTCACACATGGCGCCCGCATCCGCTGAAAGTGGGACAAACAGTGGTAAGGAGAACTCGACGACTGCGACCACTTCGGACAATGAGAAACTTTATATGGAGGGTCGGATTGTTCAAAAACTTGAGTGTAGGCCGATTGCCGACAATTGCTATATGAAACTTAAATTGGAGTCAATACGTAAAGCTTCGGAACCACAGCGACGTGTACAGCCCATCGATAAAATTGTGCAAAACTACAAGCCCGTTAAGGATCATGCACACAATGTAAGTGCCTGACAGTTACCGATATACATATATTTTGACACCGATTGAAATCAACAAAACATATGTTTTTCGTTTTCGCAGATTGAATACCGTGAGCGCAAAAAGGCCGAGGGAAAGAAGGCTCGAGATGACAAGAATTCTGTTATGGATATGTTATTTCATGCTTTTGAGAAACATCAATATTATAACATCAAGGATTTGGTTAAAATTACCAATCAGCCAATTAGTTATTTGAAGGAGATTTTAAAGGACGTCTGCGACTATAATATGAAAAATCCGCATAAAAATATGTGGGAACTTAAGAAGGAATATCGTCATTACAAGACTGAAGAGAAAAAAGACGAAGAAGAGCATAAATCCGATGGTGGCAGCGACTCCGAATAGGTCATAGTGGATGTTAATGACCAAATAACAGATTAATACATGCTTGGATTGTTTTCCCATACATAGTAGACTTATTTACCTAATGTAATTCATTAAAGGTGAAGTAAATGAAGTCAGATTAGTTTGGCAGTGAACAGTATTGGGCTTTTTTGTGTATTTATACTATTATGAAGTTTTTTTTAGTGCTGGAAATACTAAACATAATTCAGTATTTTTCCTTCCCATGAAGAAGCCAGCTATTTAATAAAAGGTGCGACTTTTGGTTTTCTTCTTTTATTTTTTCAATTTCTTAAAACTCTACGAAAAAAAAACCATACCACTAACATAATCAAATGTAAATATTATACGCTTATATATATGTATTTTTTATCACTGATACACATCCCATAATGTATATGTATGCGTACAATTTATTATATTTACATACATATGTACAATAGAAGAGAAATATATATTGAAAATTTTTATGTTACGAGATCAGGTACTTGTAGTTAGTACTATCAGCTCATATCGATTTCCAAAAACTTTTCCTGTTTAGAGCATGAACACCCAAAAAAAAAAAAAAAAATTAAGAAAAAAACAAAAAAGAAAAAAAAACGCGGTAATGAAATGGAAAATTCAAATTAAAATGTGAATGTTTTATTAAAATAAAAATTGGTGTATGTGATATTTCAAAATAAAAAAATGGCAAGAAAGTAAATTATATTAGAAAAAAATTAAAATGTCTATTGTTTCAAGAACTTGTATAAAAAAATAAAAAGCTACTATTAAAAACTAAAAGCAAATGAAGGTTCACGTTTTAAATGAGTTTGATCAAACATATATGATATGATTTATAACAATACCGAAGTAAGGTTCAGAAAAATGATTGTTCATGGCTCCTTTTGTAATTTCCAGTATGTTTAAAGACATCGTTTTTTTTCTACCTAAGCTCACACATAGTAAGCATTCGCATTTAGGGAAATCGAGCTTACATAATACTGTCGACTCTTACTACTATAAAAAAAAAATTTAACATTGAAACTATTACCTAACGTCCAATATTTTCCATGATTTTATGAACGATTTGCACTCAAAAATAAATCTAATTTAAGATGATTTTGTACATAGATGAATATTTACGATTGGCTCGTTGCCTCTTGAAGCGCTTGCCGTGGAAATATACATTTCGTCGTCACTAAAATGCATATGGCCCTTTGGCATTTTAAATAAATCTCTTAGACGAATTGCAGTGCAGGTGGTGTACGGCCAGTTTCCTGATTTGACAGTAAAACTAAAAAGTGTATGTTACATTTTCAGCCGAAGTGATTACAAATTAAATAGCAATATTTTCTACAAACATAAAACAATCTATTCAATAAGTCTTTGTCTACATATTCACTAAACAGAACATTAAAATAAAACGAGAAAAGATAAATATCTTCGGCATGTCGATGATTGCATACCTTTCGCAAATTATTCTTGGATTATTGCTTATTCATACGTGTATGCAAACATCGATTAAATAATAATGTAATAAATTCGGTCAAGATATTGTGGGAAGCGATGGAAATGATAATACTCCTTTTACTAGTATCATTCTGATCCAAGCTAAAAAGAGGTTATCTACTCAAGGACTAGTTCACAAAAAACAGACGGATAGACCTTCCTTTTCATACTGATGAAAAATGGCGTCGAAGGGTATACACATATTTATCACATTCATAGACGAAAACATTACTAAGCTATTGACGACGACATAGACGCTGGAAGTGACGATATACCCGAGTCGGCTTCCTCTGGACGTTCACGAGATTTTGGTACTGGTTCTATAAGGCGTACCGTTTTCAAATTTACTTGCGAAGTTTCCATTTTGCGCTTTCCGGGCTTTACAAGCCTGACATCTCCTGGGGTATTAAAATTGCTGTTGACGTTGCCAATGTCGTCTTCGGGATTTATTTCTTGACGCTTCGTTGTCAATAATGTTATTTTAAGATCGTTCATATCGACAGGCTCATCCGGATTGTGTGCGCCAGGGTTCAAGGAAAAGTTGCCTTGGTTCGTCTATTGAATATAAGATATTTTATATTACTTGGGTGTAAACATTTTGAAGCTGAACTCACCAAGAGCAGGCATGCAAGAAAATAGCGCGAAAATGTGCTCACATCCTTCCCTGCCATAACATCGGCCATTGTTGCACAACTGTTGTGTGCCAAACACACATCGATCATTTCGGTGCCAATGTTTTTGATGTCAAAATTTTGTCGATCGTGCGCCGCTTGCAACGCAGGAGCAATTTGCAAGTGCCAATTCCTTATCTAAATTCAATCGAAAAGATTTATTTTGTGATTATATATATACACGCACGTAGTCTTACCATGGCACTTGAGTCTGATACATCTTCGAATTGGTTTTCCATTATATTTAAGTTGTCAATGAAACTGCTTGATGTTTCTACGGGCGGCATATCCGGGCTGTTTTCGTCTTCAAACACACTGTCAACTGCTGCTGATTCATTTAAATGGTTCTGCCTATTCTGTTCTGCCTCCTCGTTGTTCAAATCCTCCTCCATGGTTGATGGTCCGATAGTATCTTCTGACACTTTTATAGCTGGAACAGCTTCCTCTTCTGTCAACACTGTTGTCTCGTTGAGCGTTGGAATGTTTTCTTCTACTGAGGCTGCGTTTGTGGAACTGCTTGGAGCTTTTTCACAATCTGATTCGTCTTGATGTTCTGTTACAGCCTCGTTTATTATTTCATTTGCCAGTCTTTCGGCAAGAGCATCTATTGTCATCTCAACTAAATCAAAAGCATCTTCCAACTGATGTGGCGCATCCATGGCCACATGTGCATCTAAGGTCTGTGAATTATCGTGGTCTATACCGGAGTCATGCGTGGGACGTCTGTCCTTGTACGTTTTGGCCACATCATCGTTAAATCCATGAAACTCTGAAGAAACAAAGGATTCATTTAAATATATTCATGCATTTGCATTGGGAAACTAGGCAAATACTTACCGTAATTTTCCCCAAATTCTAGCATGTTAATCGAATCATCTGCAATGGATGCTTGAATACGCGGATAGATACCAACCGATGCCTCCTGCTGAACTGGCAGAAGAGTAATAGCTCGAGGCGCCTTTCGATTTTTCGCTTCGGGTTCCGGTTTTTGTGGATTTCGCTTAATAAATTAAAAAACAAAATTGTGGTTATGTTGCAAATCTCTAAAACAGCTTAAAGATATCCAATTTTTAGAACAGCTTTTGTGCTTACCGCTTGCATAAAAAGTTGAAATTCGTCTGGCAATTTAAAAAGACCCTTTCTGCGTAGCTCTTTTTTTGGAAATTGGAAAATATTTAATTCTATATCATATATATGGGTCCTTTGCACATTGAGTATTTCCTCAGATTCTTCTATGTCATAGCTCTGAGCTCTGTGTGCATTATCTTCTTTCGAGACGCTGACTCCATTTAAGGTATCCTGATCAGGTATTACAGTTAGATTATTCTCATTTGGCACATCAGGCAAAAGATCCTGCACCATTATTGGCGGTGACAGGCGACGCAATTCTTCTATATCTGAAAGAACAACGCCTTCGTCATCAAAACTCAGTCCTACTCAGTCCAAGAAAAGAATCAGGTTAGGTTAACATAAAGAAATAAGAAACGAAATAAAAGAATAAAAAATATAAGTAAAATATTGTAAACGAATAGATGAATTAAAAACTAAATTTGCAATCCATTCATAAAGCTTACCTTCAGTAGCCAAAGGACTATCATCTGTAATGTTAATGCCCGAGTCGATTAAGCTTTGCCCGTTCGATTTGGTTAGATCGTCTTTATCACCCACTAGAGCACTCGAATTCTGTGAGGAGCTTAAATGATTTGGCAACTCAATTCGTGTACTCTCTAAAACACTTGAGTCGTTAAAACATAATGCTTCATTTGCTGTGCTATTCATTGTTGAATTAATGTTTGACGTCAATATGGATGGAGCCTGTGTTGTTTGGTCAAGATCTGATGTGCTGGTGTTCACTCCTGAAACTTCCCTTGATGAAAGAGTTACCAGGACCTCCGTTTGGTTATCGTTTCGGACTTCCGCGCTGGATTCAAGCGTGTTTTCCATTGCTGAATCAACGTTTTCGTGTGATTGGTTAACATCTTGGCCATCCAAACTACGTTCGAACATGGTCTCCATTGCCGAATCAATGCCTTCCCCGCTTTCCCCGGTTTCAAACCCACTGTCCAAAGCTGTCAAGGGTTCCGTTCCGTTAAGATTTTCACCACACAATTCGAGGCGCAATCGCTTATTCGGCACACCGCCTATTTCTAGATTTTTGTGTTTTTGTGGACGTAGCGATACGCCATATCGATCCGCAAGTACTTGATTTTCCAATGCTATGTACTCGTTTAGATATTCTCTTGTTGTCATGTGTTCATTTAAAATATCCGCCATATTCAGTTGATGGGAATAGACATATTCCTTTATTAGATTCAGCCGGTCGAATGGTATATCGGGAATGAGCGTATTGTATCTGTGCTCTGCGTGATATATATACATTTTGTAGTTTTTCTTTTCGTCCTCATCCGCCGGGTTGTCCGGATCTACGACTGGCGCATGCTTCCAAATGCTGGGCGGTATGTGATCCTGATACAGGTATTCGATTGTACGAGTGCGTGAGCATTTAATAAAGCCGGTATTGCTAAATCGCTTTTCTGGTGACATTGTTTTGAATTTACGGGGCTCCACTGTTATCATATATGGATCGACTTCCTTTTGAGTTAATTTTTTGGCGCGACGCTTTTTCGGTTCTTCCGATTTGTTGGCAGTCTCGGTGTTGTTGCTATATAATGTAAATATAATATTTAATTGTCTACAATATTTAATTGGTATGGTACAAGGACTTACTCTTTTGGGTTATCTTTCCCCAAATCAGCCGTGAGTAGTGCCTCAATCTGCTGTTCAGCGATTTGGTAGATATATTCCACGCGGTCGCTATAGATTTTGCCACAATATTGCACAACGCTTCCGGCTGCAATAAGCGCTGCGCGCCTCGATACATTCCCGTTTGCATCGCAGTGGTGAGAGAATTCATCAAGATACTGAAATTTCAAAATGAGTATAATCGGCTGTATTAGTGCTTTTATTGAAGTATACTTACATATTCCAATGATAGGCGCAAATCAGTTGAAAAGTCCGAATTCTTCGAAACTTCTTCGAGGAGGGTGACCAGCGTGGACAGTTCTGGCTTCTCATAATAGGCCTGTATACACTTGGCCACATTCGTCCCAGGACGATTTTGCGCCACTTCCAAAATTTCATTTAATTGGGAACCTGCAAACATTGCTCAGAAATTAATTTTGGACTTTCACTGCTAGATGTCTTCATTTGTCAGCGTTTGTTTCTACGTAAGAATTTTAAAATAGCGCTGACTTGACCACAGTTGAATGCGTGCGCGTTTAGCCGCCGGCACCCTAAGCTTATGTGTTTACGTGAATCTTCTGTTTTAACTATGTATGTAAGCATATGGATGTGCGTACACGCATATTTATAAATATGTATACATATGTAGGTATGCATGTATGCATGTACAGCATGTGCCTTCAATAGGCAAACAACACACATGCACACAAGCAAAGAACAACAGGCCTACACCAATCTCGTAACAAGCTCGCGTGTTCCAACCAGATTATCGGGGCGTAAATGGCCATATGCTTTTATTTTTTTACACTTACCCTCCTTATTATTGCTCATTTTGATATAACTGAATTAAACGAATAATTCAACTGGTTTCAGATTTATAATAATACACATTTTCTCAATCACACCAATAAGCATTTAGTTTGACACACACATGTACATATGTGTATATATCCATATAGATGTACATACTTCACAAAACATAAACGGATACGTTTATTTACAAATCTGCGAGCAGATACAGATTCCGAGAAGTTGTACACTGAACTTCAGATAATTCTTAACCGCGTATTAGTTGTTATGGTTTCTTCTATTTATTGTTTTATTTAGAAAAGCCGCGGTCCGATTTATTTTCTTTCCATTGCGCGTGCTTCCTATTTTGTTTTGCTCTCTTAAAATGAACATGGCGTGGAGTCAGGGCTGCTAAATGGCTTGGAAAATTCGATTTCCGATTAAATGCTTTTTGGAAGAATGTTTCGATACAAATCGTTTTTTTAAATCGACCATAAAATGCTTTTTTCACACAAGACAAGCAATGCAATCAAACGCTAAAACTTCGTAATGGGATCTAGTGGACTAGCCATCGGATTTTGTTGATATATCATGTCAACGCCTAAGATAATACATATACGGGGAAATCGTTTTAGACGGATGCATTTATATATATTTTTCTTTAAAAATTATTTATGTGAATGGAAATCAGAGGGTGATCCATTAAATCGATTCTAATTTTTGAGGACCTTGCTTTATTTATATTAATTTATGTTAATAATAAATATACTTTCGCTTAGTATTTTTTGTTCAAATAGTGACGAAATTTCGATTTCCGCCTTTCAACAAAAACAGCTAAAAAATCGAATTTCTGAAAATTCGAGAAAATCGACTAGTCGATTTGGCATCGATTTTAGTACCAGCCCTATACATACATATATGTATATCGATAGGATATTACTGCGCAAAGAAGCTGTGTGGGTGCTGTTTTTAAGCGTACGAACTATTATTATTTAGAAATAATGTTAAAACAATTGTCGAAATAATTAAAGTATCAATATATTTGAAGTGTGAATTATAAACGGCTTTAGAAATAATTGCGATATGTAAGTTACATATGTAGTATGTGGTTACAGTAGTAAAGAGCCCCGCCGTTTCAGTGAAGAAAATTTGGTGTTTACCATGATGCTGATTAAAAAGTTGAATTTGTTATTCAAACATATTGATACAAATATGCGAATATGTAAAATAAACCGACATATGATGAGAACGTGAAAAACATTAGATTATTTACACTATTTTGCGTCTTTTCCTTCCACGGGCACACCTACATTAAGAGCGCACAGGAGTAAGAGAGAGATAGACCGTTGACCGGGGAAATTGTGGGGGAAATTTTTGGTATGTTATTTAAATCAAACCTTTCTTGTCGTTTGATTTACAGTAACAAGGACTACAACTGGGTACCTCGTGCAGCAAACTGAATAGAAGCAGCCACGATCGACAGCATCCACAAGCCGCGGAGTACATGGGTGGAAACAGCGCTGCCGGCAATTCGGCAGCATTTACCTCGGGAGGAGGCTATATAGGACCGATGATGGCTAGCAGCAGCTTGGGTGCAGTCGGAGGCAGTGACTTGATTCCGCCACCAATTGGCACGGGAAGTTCTGCATATGGCGGAACTAGTTGGGAGGAGTTTTGTGATCGGCATGCGCGTGTGGCGGCCTCGGAATTTGCGAAGGCAAGCATTACCTATATAAATGGTAATTTGCCTCCAGAAGAAGCGCGAAGTATACCACATCGTAGCTTTGCCCAAAAATTTATGGAATCGTTCTCTGAGCACTACGATACTGAGTTTTTTCGAAGGCGTAGTAACCTTAAAATTGGCATTGGCTCTCTATTTAATGAAGGGAGCGGTGAGTTCGACGAGGAGCAAGAAGTTTCGCGTTTGTTTCCTAAATCATTGCTGCGCCGGTTGTCCTTCAAAGGTCTGCGTAAGGGAAAGGTGAGCGTGCTCCTATGGCACCTTTGGCCAGTAACCATAGTTTAATATTAGAAACTTTTATTTTTGCAGGCGTTTTTTCACAAAAACTCTGATGACGGAGATGGCAGTAGCAAGCACAGCAAAACAAAGCTGCACAAGATTGTAGTTGAATGCCGAAAAGAGGGTATTGTAAACAATCTGACGCCGGAGAGTTTGGATCAGCCGACAGGAACGCAAAAGTGGGAAAAGTGCCGTTTAGCTTTGGTGAAGGCCGTCGGCGGCTATATGCTAGAGTTTTACACGCCGCCCAAATCGACAAAACCGCGTAGCGGTGTCTTTTGTTTCCTTATCTCGGAAGCACGCGAAACAACTCCGTTAGAAATGCCGGACCGTCTAAATACTTTCGTGCTAAAGGCCGATAATAATATGGAATACGTTATTGAGGCGGAGAATCCAGATGACATGCGTAGCTGGTTAGCCACCATAAGATACTGCATGCGAACACCTCCAACCCAACAACCCATGATTGAATCATCCGAAGTTATAGCAGCGGCCATGCAAACCTCCCCGATTAGCACAAATCCTGGTGGCGTCAGTGCCATAGGCGGCATACAAAATCCGCAGTACCAACAACAAAGTGCAGTGGATGGTTCTATTAGTAATTTGGGAGGAGATAGTGGCCGCGGTGGTACAGCCATTGCCGGTTCACAATCAGCCGACAGTGCGTTGGCCACGTTAACAGTTGCAAGCACTGCCGCTAACATCTCGGCTTCTGCAACGGACGTAAACGCCATATCTATGGCCAGCATTGAGTTAGGCAGCACGCCGCCCAATGCCCCGCCAGATGTACCTACACGTCCGACACGTACAGCCGGCACTGGCGAACGTGGAGAGCAAAGATTGTCTGCTTCAAGCAACTTTGATGGCAACGAGCTAGGCGATGTGGAACCTGATATAAATGTGGCGGATCTCACTGCGGAGATGCGCTTGTTCCCCTGGTTCCATGGCACATTGCCGCGCTCAGAAGCTGCCCGCATGGTTCTTCAGTCCGAGGCAGCCGGTCACGGATATTTCCTAGTACGTCAAAGTGAAACGCGGCGCGGTGAGTTCGTGCTCACGTTCAATTTTCAAGGACGCGCCAAACACCTACGTTTGACTATATCCGAGAAGGGCCAGTGCCGAGTGCAGCATCTATGGTTTCCGTCAATACAGGAAATGCTTGAGCACTTTCGGCACAACCCCATACCTCTCGAATCGGGTGGCACTTCGGATGTGACACTGACGGATTGGGTACACAACACCAGCAGACTAAATGAATTACCTACGTCTCAGGAGCAAGGCGCCGAAACAGGCGGCAGCGGGCATCCATCGCCGAGACATGTGAGATAGCCAAAATTTTGGAGTCAATTCAGTGTCAGTGATGGTTTTTATTTTCCTTATTTTTGTTTCCCTTTTCGTTTCATTCGGTTTCATTGTTGATCATAACCCACCCATATAAAATAACATATTTTTTAGTTTTTGCATGCCGAATTATTATCAAAACTAAACCAAATACCAAATACTGATTACATTTTTTTAATTCTTCTCCACGCAGTGCAACGAAGTGATTACCATGAATCTAAGTGTTCGCTTAAAGACAAACGAAATTGAACTGCCACAGGAGTCACAACACGTCTATTTTCCGGAGCAAGTCTACTTCCATTTGGACCCAACGACTCTAACAGTGCACAGCACGCCGCCGACCTCACAGACTTTTTTGGAGCAGCAGGCACATTTACGTTCCTCGACAGCATCTCTTCAGCAGTCACAGCAGCAGCAAGTCTCTGCCCCAGGCTTAACGCCAGTTCGCCATGGTAGCGAAAGCAGTGCCAATGGTGGAGCCGACTGCAGTGGACGAGCTGTAGATAATCAGTACAGCTTTACCTAAATTTATTATTTGGATTTTGACTTTGTAACGGATTTTTTTTGTGCCATTGTGTTGACTAGAAGCAGTGAAATTGTCCTTTTTTGTTGCATTATGCAAAGATTTAACTGTAGTCGTTTAATCGTTGTATTATCATTTTTTTTTGTATCTTCTTGGAAGACATGAATAAACTAAATATTATATGTATCAAATTTATAGGCGCGACAAACGCTAATCCTAAACTTCCTGCTTTATAAAAAATCCCTAAATTTGTAAATATATTCGCCCTATATAGAAGGCGAATTCTAGAACCTACAATGTTACAATATAAAATGGAGACAAAATTAACCTGCGTTCAGCCATATTGTTCGGGAAATATCCATAAATCGAGATACTATAGGGGTTAATGGAGCTCGCGAAGCGATCGGCGTAAGGGCAAAGCCCCCTAAGTTGATATTACAAAAATATATTCATAATGCGTACACGCATGTAAATCCTAAATCCATTCATCATCTACATATATACAAAACATACATAAAAACAAACTGTCCTTACTGAGATTTCCTACACCATTCTGTGGGAACTTTCATATTCCTGTTGCTTATATGCATATGTATGTATGTTTTAGAAGAATGAGGTTTTTCATTTTCGTTTAATACTTCTCCCCTGCCTTCCTTGTGTTATTGAGAATATAACTCGAAGTTATGTGGCATTTCTAGATGTTTTTAACAAAAGTGATTAATTCATATAAGACCGATAACCTATGACCCAGTCTTTGATTTAAAAAGTGTTCATCTTTGTTGTAGTTTTCATTTATTTTCTACTTATACATATGTATGTACATATGTATGTTGTAGATTGATCAACGAATATAATTTGGTAAAAATGTATTTTCTTGATTGCTGTGTTTATTGCGGTATTTCAATTCAGCTTACCACAAATTCAAAATTAGTAAAGACATTTGTTTACATACATATGTACATTCATACTATATACACATACATATGTATGGATCTATGTACGTAAATATAGTTCATATACTCTCAAAAAAGAGTGTAAAATTATATATTTTTAACTATATAAAAAAATGTAACTATAATAAATAAAGTTATAAAATTTATTTGTCTTAATTTTACTTATTTTACTTAAAAGGTAGTTTTTCAAAACTATTTAGGATGTGCAAAAAATTAATTTTATATGTTTATAAATTAAGTACTTACGTATGATGATAAGAAAATAAGTCGATGTACATACATACATATGTATGTAGGCAAATGCACATACATACATGTACATACTTTCTCAAAAAATTCTAAAGAGAAACGATAGTATGTGCAAGAAACCGATAGCATCTGGTTTGTTCAATTATATGACAGTACGCTATCGGTGAATCTATCATCCCTAATTGAAACAACCGGTGACAATATTAACATATGTAGGTTTTCGTAAGGACTGCTAGGCTAATTTATAAAATGGAACGCGAATTGGATATAATCGATTCCCTACAAGCCTTGTGCTATAAGGGCATCTGCTTGGAACAGGAAACACTGCGCACAGCACTTGACAGTGGAATGAGCAGCGATACCTTCAGAGATGTGGTTTTCTGGTTAGCGAACGAGCTCGCAGTGCTCCGTAAGACTGATGAGCACATTTCGAGCAGCAAGGATAATGACGAGTTTACATTTGAGCTATCTTTGTTGCTAACAGAGCTGGGCTGCCCGTACCAACAATTCGTAACTCTGCCAATGTCGGAGCGATTCAAAACCCGTGAGTCGCTGCTTCAACTATTAGATTATCTTACCTGCGAGTTGATGGCTACAAAAATGTCACTTAAAATGCAGCCATCTGAGCCCCCAAGTAAAAAATCAAAAATCGAGACAAATGTTGAGGAAGCGGTAAAGCAATTGTCGGCAGACTTGCAGGTTGAGTTGCCGAAGAATCTCAATGGCAAAACTCTATTCGAAAAACTGCAGCCCCGTCTAGAACAGCGCTTAAAACAAGTCAATCGGAATATTGTGAGCGAACCATTACTTAAGACGTCAAAATCTTTAACTGATGCGCAGTGGCGCATGCTGGAAGCTATGCACAAGGACCTCGATATGGAGTACAATTTGCGTCGCGAAATGATGCTAACGCGTTTAGAGGCGACCGTACAGAGCTTCCAATGGTCCGAATCGATGAAGCATCGTGAGAAAGAAATCAACGACCGTTTTCAGCGGAAAATGTTGCAATTAGGACTGATAAAGTATGGCGGCGAAGATACTAACATTGTAGCATTGCTAGCAGCACGTAGTGACCTGGCCGTGATTGAGAAGACGAGTTCAGCAAATGTACGCAAGAATACAGCGTCGAAAATACAAAAGCATGTGATTGGCAATGTTCCCGACCGCGGTGGTCGTGCTCATGAGCATGCGCCGCCACCGCCGGAGATGCCCTCATGGCAGCAGCAACGTGCTGGTGGACCAGCACGTGGAGGTGGAAACTTTCGCGGAGGCGGCGGACAAGGACGTGGTGATGGAAACTTTCGTGGCCACGGTGGTGGAGGTCGTGGAGGCAGTGGTGGAGGCGGTGGTGGAGGTCGTGGAGGCAGTGGTGGAGGCCGTGGTGGAGGTGGCAATTGGTCTCAGCAGCCACAGGAACAGCGGGACCAGCAATGGATTGGTGGCAGTGGTCGTGTGCAGGGCGCTGGCTGGAACCAAAATTCACGTGGCTACCAGCGCGGTGGCTACAGATAGTTCTTAGCTATCATTTATATCAATAAATTATTATGATATTTATTATGAATTTAATAGTAACAAATAATAACTGTGTTTCCAAGTAGTCTGAGGTCAAAACTGCCTGGCTGGCAAAGGCTGGCTTACCCAAGGCAAATAAAAGCTGATCTTTTTCTACTAAGAATCGAATGCCTATATCTATTTGTAGTTGCTTCAAAGGACTCCTTCAGAGCGAGTTTATTTATGCTGTGCAAATCAAGCGACTGAAAGATTGAGACGTGAGTATCGTAGGAGGTCATCACGCCGATGGGATGTGCATAAGTAAGCAGAAAGCTCTGCCTCCCATCGGACTGTTAAATGGCTAAACATCAAATTCGACACCCATGTGTATTCAAGCATCGCACCCACACACGCGATACCCAATTGTCACCATAACTACGTTTTTGTGCTTTGTATATATCTACATATGTACGAGTATATATGCATATAGTTTTTATTTTATACGAAATACAGCAGTGGCAGTGCAATTAGTGCGCTCAATCAGCGTGAAAACCATGTCGAAGTCATCCAACGACATCGACGAGAACAGGTCAGACTTCTCAGTTTAGTGTTAATCAAATATTCACACAGTGCGGTCCCGATTCGCGTCACAAATCCTGCCAACATAAAATATGCTGCTTAAACTAACACTAGCTTTTTTGGTCTATAGCGCGTCAGCCCAAAATCTCATCGATCGCTTGCGGCCTCATAATGAGACACAGTTTGACGAAGACGTTAAAGTCGTGTCGGGCACTAAGGTGAAACGTTTCGAGCGGCTGACAGTCCCATTGGGCGGTACTGGCGGCGCCGGAGGCATCGGAACTGGACTGCTGGGTCCGCTGCTGCATCCCCAGCCGGCATATTACGGTTATGCCTATGTAGGTCAATGGCTAGAACTCTTAATGACACATTTATTAGCGTTTCACACGCTAATATTAAGTAATATATGTATGTATGAAATCGTATGTACACGGTGATATTTCTCATTACGGACAGTCCCCACAGCCGGGTAAATGTTATTAAAACAACTGTTGCATTCGTTTTTGTGTTTTAAAATAATTCCTAAAATATTGTATACAATTTTTGGTTCCCTATTCGTTCCATATATGTGTTAATAACAATTTTTTTTCTATCAAAAAGGACTGTTTAGAGTAATACTATCGTCCTGCCTCTACTTCGCACGGGTATTTTACAAAAATTGTAAAAATTATCAATTTGTAACACACAAACCTTTTTGTTATGAGTTACTAAAAAAGAGTAAAATTATAAACATAGTTTGGATAGAACTATTTTAATGATTCTTTGTTCTTTTTTAGTTTTTTTGTTGCTCTCTATTGAGTCAGAGCTTCTGTAAACGATGTTTGATGTTGTTTTATTTTGTGACAGATAGATAAACATACAGTTTTCCATAAGTAAAACATGCCTTTCGTAGGTCTATCCCCAGTAATGGGACTTGTTAATACTTAACGCGACTGCGGTTTTTACCTAAAATATAAATGGGCTAATTAAAGTTGATCAATGATCAGGTGGTATCGACCACACGTTCATTATTATGACGTACTATTTCGCCTTAAAATGGATCTGAGTTGGACCAGTGTTTTCATTGATCATATGTTATTATGTTATTTTTTAAATGCATCGTGCATTATTTAATCAAAATTTTAATTTTTTGGGCCCCCCTTTGGTAAAAGCTACGCTACGCTCATGTTAAGCGGGGATAGTGTAGCTTCCCAATAGTGAAAGAATCCTTTAAATCGGTCCATTAGTTTCGGAGCCTTTTCAATTCAAATAAATAAACAAACAAACAATCAAATCTGTCCTCTTTATAATCTAAGTATAAATTAATTAATAAATACAGTATTTGTAAAGTACAGTACATGAGTGTGCATATATAGTATATGTACATATGTCCATAATTATGTAATTATTAATTTTAAAATGTGGGTGTCCGTTCGTAGGGCAGTTCACTGTATATACGAGGAGTACATACATATTTACACATACATATGTATGTATGTACATACTTGTATGTATGTATGTATATAAGTAGTATGTACAAAAATTAAAATTAACCACGTGCGTAAATTAACTTCAAAAGGTCTTGCCACGCTGGCAGGCGGGTGCACAGTTAAAAGGCGATGGGGAGGCAGCAGAAGCCGCTGGCATGATCACCTTTCAGCAGTTGCCGTACAGCAGCGACATTAGGGTGACCATAAATATGACAGGGTTGCCGCCGGGTAAGCATGCCCTTCACATCCACACCTTCGGCGATGTTAGCGAGGGCTGCAAATCCACTGGAGGACAGTTTCCCAATAATTTTGTAAGACTGGCTCTAACTTCCACTGTATTTTATTTATCTAACACGGTTGAGCTTTGTCCCACAGCTTGGAAATGTCGACACTAAGGACGACGGTACGATATCTGCGGCCTTCATGAGCATCTACCTGCAGCTTTTCGGCTTTAATGGCATTGTGGGCCGCTCTATAGTTATACACAGCAAGCCCATCGACCTGAACACGGCGCTCAACGCGGAAGTATTCTCCTCCTCCCTCGCCCTTCAGGCCATGCCGAATGCTCTTGCGTACCAGAATGAAGAGAACTCGGTGGGGGCGGCCATAGCCTGTGGTGTTATAACCATCATGAGCACGACCAACACAGAAAAATAATACATTTTAACTACATCTTAAATGTATATCATTTCTTATCATAATCGATTTAATTAAAGGGCAATATTCAATACAAATACTTGAAGTCGATACCCAATTGATTTTAAAAATAAAGAGAGCTTGAGAAACGTATTCAAAAGCAGGAAGCTTATGTTGTTAAATATTTATTTGTGTATAGACTACAATATACTTGTATCCTTGTACCTGTTTTCTGGAAAACCAGGCTTAAACCTACCTTATTCTGGTTAGCAGGACTCACTCATTCGCCGATAAAACACTTACGATATTTAAATATTCGTATTTTTTAAATGATTTATATGATTCACTGAAGATATTTGTTTCTATGAAGTTATTCTAAAGCTTTTGCTAATAATTATTGATAGTGGCCAATAATTGCAATATTTATACAAGTATTACCGCTGATAATTCTTAATAATGTTCAAAACTCATTTTCGATCTGTATACTATGTATTAGTTGGTTCTTGTTTAAAGTACAAAATTTCAGATACGATATTTAAATACTAGTATATATAAATAATCATTATTATTCAATGCAGACATTTTCTCTTAAAAGTTATTCTAAAGCTTTTGTTATTAATTATTGAGATTGAGCAATAATTACAATATTTAAATTAATGATGATCATTTTAAATACTTTAATAAGCTATATTTATGCCTAAAGTATATTTTTGAATAATCGAGCATAAATATCAACAGCAAAAGTTTTTACTCTCCGTCGAAGCCACTTTCAAAAAATGAAATTTAAAAATTTCAAGATCTAAACAAGATTAATTGCTTTTCTCCATTTACGGACCACAAATGGTGCTAGATTCCTTGTAACACAACAATATTGTTAATGTCTATGTCTTATCAGAAATATATCTTTAGAAAAATAAAGATTTTTGCAATCATAGTATTTGTTAAAAAACAGAAACTAAGAAAAGTCTTCTTATAAATGAAAAGAAAAGTCTGACCCTTAAACATTTAACTAACATTGTAAATCAAGCGACGCAATTAATCAGGCAAGTTAGTATACAAATATATAGCAGAGTACTTATAGTGGGTTATTTTTAAGAATGTATATTAGCCCTAATCATTCCATGCTTATCAGTCGATTAAAGTCAGTTCGTGGTGGGCTAACGCTTTATAGGCCGACCCCTTCCGAAAAGAGCGCAGTAGCTTCCTCGCAGTATGTGCAGTCGCAATACTTTCACCGTTGCTGGCCTGGTGCTCTATCTGTTTTTCCTAGGCAGGACTTATGGTACACCAATAGATCCCTATGAGGGTCAAGATTTCTACAAGTTATTGAACAATCCGGATGGACGCTTGGCACTATCATCCAGACTGACAACGGTAAGCATTTCGAAACTCCGAGTTATCCCAAATCATCAAAACAAGACCTTGTTCCATGGATGGTTGTAGGCAGATCGTATAGCCGAGCATGGGTATCCAGTGGAGCGCCATAGTGTGGTCACCGAGGATGGGTATATTATTGGCTTGTTTCGCATTCCCTATTCACATAAGCTTCAAAACGAGCAAGCCCTAAGGCCCATAGCTTTTCTACAACATGGACTCTCGAGCAGCTCGGATGGTTGGATCTCCATGGGTCCGGACGATGCCTTGCCATTTCTGTTGGCCGACGCCGGCTTCGACGTTTGGTTGGGAAATGCGCGCGGCACTACCTATTCGAGAAATCATACTTCACGCTCTACAGAACATCCTTATTTCTGGCGATTTAGTTGGCACGAAATTGGTTATTATGACATAGCGGCCGTGATAGATTACGTCCTGTCCGCCAACGGGCAGAACCAGCAGGGTATCCATTATGTCGGCCACTCACAGGGAACTACAGTGTTCTTTGTTCTGATGTCGACACGCCCGGAGTACAATGCAAAGATAAAGACGGCCCACATGTTGGCTCCGGTGGCTTATATGAACAACCTGTCGAACTCGCTAGTTCGTTGGCTAGGACCCTACCTCGGCCACTATAACACCTACTCCTTGCTGTTTGGGTCCCAGGAATTTTTGCCCTACAACGACTTCTTCCTGGCGCTCTTGTATAATACCTGCCGACCAGAGTCGCGCTTTGCAAACTTCTGCGATGGAGTGTTATATAATAGCAATCAAGAAGGGCGCTCTAATTCGGTAAGTTTGTTTTTAATTGTACTTTTATAATAGACTAATTGCTCTGTATTTAGACTGCCTCTGCCATCAATGCTCAGACACATCCGGCAGGTGCTTCAACCGATCAGGGGCTACATTATCTACAGGAGCAGCAGTCGGGCTATTTCCGGCAGTTCGATTTCGGGAAGGCGAAAAATATTCAAGTGTATGGAACGGAATTCCCGCCGGACTATGCCACCGAGCAGATAACATGCCAAACGCATTTGTGGTACGGCGACAGCGATGACCTGGCCGCGGTTACAGATGTCCTGCGATTGGCCGAGACATTGCCCAACAAGGTAATGCACCATATGAACGATCCGTTTTGGGATCACGGTGACTTCGCAACTAATTGGGAAGTGCGGAAATATATTAATGATCCCATCATACAAATTATGCAGGACTTCGAGGATCAGCTTACGTAAGCCTATATTATAAGGTCTATTAAGGTATATCATTAATCTATTTATTGCCTATGATTAAAGTTCTCAAATAAAAATAACTATAAACAAGATTAGATCATGTGTACATGAATGAAATATAAATTTAAGTAGATCGGCAATTGAGGAATTTCTAATTGTTTTGTGGTCTTTCGGCTCGTAAGCATTTGATAATAATGGGATTACACACATAAATACGTATTATTAAACACTTAACTGTATACCTTCCCTGGGGGTAAGATTGAAATTATTAGTGGGCAATAAAATTTCTGCCTAGCTTATCAAAAGATAGTCCAACTTTCTATATATACATATATTTTTTATTGACCATAAGTAACAGTAGCAAGCAAAAATAATCTATAGTGGTTTCAAAGTCGTTGAAGATATAGAAAGATTTGGCAAATTTCTATAAGAATGTGTATCACACTTCACCCTAGCTGAGGAAGTTCTTGGGCTTGATTCCAGCAGATATAAAAAGCTGCAAAAGTACATAAGTTTGTGTGAAAAAATAGTCTTTTAGAAAAAACAATATCATAAATAAATACACCTAATTTTGTTTTTACACGGTAGATTGGTTCCAGAGACAACCGTGTTAAAAAAATACATGAATAGGTGATTGATTCCTTATCTCTAGAAAAATATATATGCAATTTTTAATTTTCAAACCGTTTTATATAAAAATCGTGTAAAAATGACGTGTAAACACAAAATTAAGTGTATGTTTTAGAAATGTTCTGTTGGGCTTAACACGCACAGCCTAAAAGTATACAACGATTTTTTTCCACTGCTTGTCTTGTTTTATGTTTAAGATAAGATATTAATACGCAAACGGTAAATTGTAAAAGTGTAACTTTTTAACATAAGTAATTATATGTATGCATTTGTTGTTGAATATAGATCGTCATTGTATTGACCGTCTTAAAATTTATTAGCTTTTCTGTATGGTTGCTTGCATACAGTGCGCTAAGAGAAAGTTGAGACCATAAATTTAAATGCTGTATAAATACACATATGTACAAAATACAAAACATGCTTAATAGATATACAAACAATGACTTTTATTTTCATTTGGTTTGCTAGTGTCTCTAGCTCAAATAAATAACTGCAAATATTTCTCATCAGCATGACGAGTTGAATCGATGAAGCTATGCTCGTCTGCATGTCTTTCTGTTCCCCTGGCAGAAGACTAAGCTCTACTATTTAGGCTCCCTAACTGCGTGTACAGATATTTTGCAATAAGGGTTTATTTAAAAAGAAGACCCTAATAGGATGCTGTTAGCGAGGTTATCGGTTGACATATATTGATATATTTTTCTATATGTTTTTTCAAAAGCCAACCAAATTTGTAGTAATATTAGTAATAACGCTAAAGATGTTTTAATTTCTATAATTAATGATTTTAGTGACTAGTCTATTTTGAAGTGATTATGTTAAAGTAGAGATATTGCTACAAACTTTTTCCAAAAGTTCCGCAGTCTCTCTTCTTTCAGTTTTCCACTATTTTTCTAAATTCTTTTTCCTATTGACGAAGCTCTAACACAAAAATGATTAACAGCAGAAAGCAGTTGCTTGGCGGTTGCAATAAACAAGCAGTGTCAAGCAGTGTGAGTGTGCTGCTTGAATTTATCATAAAAATTAATTTAAATTTATTATTAAATTAAATTTGTTTTTTTAGTTTTAAAGTTAATTTCTAATTAACATTTTGTCTTTATTGTATTTAACTCTGTAGATATAAAAAATAAGAGCAAATGGCTCAGGATTATAGAGTATGCAACACTTGAGTTGCACGACTCTAACATTCTTAAGTTGTTTATTTTTCTGATCAATCCCATTTCGCCCTATCTGAACGCATAAGATAGGAAAGTATAGTACATAGGAGTACGCTTATTGTAAAACAATGAATTTCCAGTTGTGGCTGGAAGAAGGCGCATATATACTCTATACTCTATACTCTACTTTTAAATACATATGTAAACCCGTACTCAAGTGTCCGATAAATTGTGAGAGGTCTTTGTGTATTACTTAGATTCAATAAAAATAAGTCTGTCAGTGTGGTCGTACAAACGATATACTCGTATATACATATATATATAAATGGGGGTCAACGTTAAATTGTTATATGTTCAGGGTCTTTATAATTTCAAGAGTGAAAGCTACAGTCGATCAAGCCCGACAGTGAAGTACCCTGTACACAGACAAACTTCCGTCACTGAGTTATATGCGATCCTAACAGAAGCAAAAAGCCGAAGCGAATAAGAGCGAAATAGTTTCGCTAATAACTTTTCTTGGAATAGATCGATTTCGATGAAATTTAAAACAAAAGTAGATATTTACATACATATACATATATGTATTAGTTACGTATGAAAAGTTTCAGTTAAGTTGCTTTTGAGATGTAGACACAATTGACGAAATTCTGTATCGGGGAGGGGGAGGGGAGGGATAATCAAAAAAATAATAATAACTCGTGGAGCTTAGGGATCAGGAGCGTCTGCATACCAAGTTTGGTTTATATACGCTGAGCCGTGCCCGAAATCCAGGCGTTCATACAGGCGGACAGACGGACGGACGGACAGACAGATGGACGGACATGTCTAGATCGATTTCTCTCTTCATGCTGATTCAGAATATATATACTTTATGGGGTCGGAGATGCTTCCCTCTGCCTGTTACAAACTTTGCACAAACCCAATATACCCTTTTTCCCCTACGGGTACGGTATAAAACTACTTGTGAGTTTAGCCAAAAAGACGCTATTGTGAGGAGTCAAGTCCAACGACAATGTGGTGATGGCCTCCAATTCATCAACCATTATCAAGTGCATAAAGAGTTAGCAGAATTTGCTAAAAGCACAATTTTTATGGGGGCTGGCAGGCTTAGGAAAAACACCAGTGTAACACGAGTATACCGACTGCGAGTGGAAGTTTATGATTTGGCAATTAAATCATAATAATAGACGCCACCGTTCCAGAGTGTCGCGAAGAATTACATACTTAAATATATAATGCTCGGGCGCTGACGTACTCGGAGACTGCCACACACCCACCAGCCCAGAGTGTGGAGGTGTGTGTCTATCACTTTTATTGGACATACGAGCACCACACGACGACAGAACAAAATGATGAACAAGATGATAAAGCCTCAGCCCCAGCACAGAGTTAGTGTTATTTATGGGCTCTTTGATGCAGTTGTCAGCGTCTGCCACGACAAATCTGTTATGAATTAAAGGTCCAGAATGAGTGCCAGCTCTGAACTCAGTATTAGTATAACGCTGATTGTGGGGCCATTCACTTGGGTGCGATGCACAAGTGAGATATCAGTGTCAGTACCAGTGTCGAGTGTTTTTTAAGACAACCGATCCCGAATATCCCAATTAAAAGGATTCGATTTTGTTGAATACAAAATCCAGTGGTGCGATCAGTGCTCTTGTGCAGTTATTTAATTATCTTAAGCTAAACAAACTCGAGTGCAACGCCTAAGCAGAGCAGCATTCGGAGTCTCGATAATGGAAACAACAACAGCGGGAACAACACAAAGTACTATTGGCAGCACAATGGCTGTTAAGACAGTAGTTAGCACGTCTTCCACACCAGATGTTGCCTTCATCTCCTCCACACCAGCCTTCAGCCCAGAAACCTCCTCTAGTACGAGTGGCAGTCCCAGCATAGTGGAAAAAGTGAATGTAAAGGATTTGAGTTCATCGCTGCAACACTTTGGCTTCGTCGACTATTTTGTTTTTGTTGCCATGCTGGTGGTGTGCGCCTTTATTGGTTTCTATTTTGGCTTTATCGAGAAGAAGAAGAAGAAGACTAAGGGCCAAGTGTCCAACAATGAGAAGGATGCTGCTGGCGCCGCTGGAATTGAGGAGAGACGTGGCTCGGAGGCCCTCGATTATTTGGTTGGGGGACGCAAAATGAAAGTTTTTCCAGTTGCACTTTCTTTGGTGGCCAGGTGAGTGCAGAAACCGATCAAATTTACGGAAAGTGTTGATTTGAATACGAAAAAAGTTCCAATTTCTGATTAAACTGCACCATTCAAAAGACTTTTTAAAATACATTTGATGGTTGCTAGTCCCATTTTTGAAGAATTTATTTTTTATTCAATTCGGTAAACATAATTTTAAGACTTATAAAGTGAATTTGTTTAGTTTTATTTTGAATACAAGCTTCGTATTAATTTTTATCTACGGATTACCTCTGTATGCCGGAAAACGCTACGATTCCGAAAATTTGAATTTATTTTTGCAGAATAGCTGATTTACAAAGTGTTGATTTGAATCCGAAAAAAGTTCTAATTTCTGATTAAACTGTACGAATCTAAAGATTTTTATTTGAGGGTTGCTAGTCCCATTTTTGAAAAAGTTATTTATATTAAATTGTGTAAGCGTTCCTTTGAAAATTATTAAGATTAGAAAACAGTTTCTAATACAGTGGATTTATTTTGTTTTATTTTGAAACAAGCTTCGTTTTAATTTTTAACTACAAATTCTTAAATATAGTCTATCAAATAATCACTGATAAAAAAAACCACGAAAATTTCAATATTTACGTGTACATTTAACTATTTTTACCGTCGATTTTGCACCATCTCGTGTTTTAGTAAATATGAAATTTAATATTAAAATATTACATTTAAAGTGTGACGATATTAAATTACAAGTGATGATGTGGAGACGTGGGTTTGATTCACGCAAAAGGTTTATTTTTTATAGTTATAAACTATTTTTCCACTTTTTTATCTACTCTACTGGCTTTTTAACTCTTTTCAATATTCACATTTCTATATTTTTTTATGCCTTTTAGTGCGGATATAGTTTGGATCAAAATTGGATCAAGTCGTGTGCCCCGACTTTGAAATACTCTGTACATATGTTTACAATAATTATAGAAAAAAAAATAAGAAAATTTAAAAAAATTTGATCGATTTTACCTTTCTCGGTATTCGAACTCACGTAAAGGGTATATAATTGCACATATACAAAGCAATTGCGTCTATGTGAGTGTATGTATGTTTATGTGCGTCTATTTGTGTCTGTGTAAGCATTTTCGCAGTCAACTAAACAGCAACATCAACAACAGCCGTGGGCAGCGCTGCAGCAGCAAATATATTTATGGCTATAACTTCTTGTTAAATCGGTCTATCATAGTGAAACTTGACACACGGACACATAATAACCAACTGGTGGTATTTCCAAAATTTTAGTTCGAAATTCCAAGAATTACGGGAGTTAGAGAAAATCGCATTTGCGGTGGAGAGGGGGGAGGGAGGGAAATTCCAATACAAATATACATTTTCTGCGTATTTACTCAAGGCATCTGGGACTAAAATTTGGTGTTCCTAGGTCTTATAGTCTCCGATATATAGGCGATTATACGAATGGAAAATCGGGAAAGCCCCCATAGGGGGGAAGTGGGGGGGGGGGGGGGGAATCAAAAAAATAAAACAAACTCGTATAGCGTACATACATAAGGCATCTTTGTGCAAAATGTGGTGTCTCTAGCTCTTATAGTCTCTGAGATCTAGGTGATCATACGGACGGACAGACGGACAGACAGGGCTAAATCGATTCGTCTTGTCATGCTGATCAAGAATATATATACTTTGTGGGGTCTACCACGCCTCCTTCTGCCTGTTACATTTTTCAGCTCGCGCAAACCTAATATACTCTTGTACATTTCATGTACAGAGTATAAAAACCAAACACTTGCGCCAGTTTTTTCTTTTACTGTGGCTTAGTGGTGAACAAGCTCGGAAAATGTGCAATAATGGTTATAACTTAGAAGCTAATTTTAAACAAAAGGAGTCCAGCTTATTGTCTTCTAGCACGACTCTTGTAGTTATTTGGACCCAAACAGTCGTGGCACTTTTTTAGGGCTGGCATGCAAAGTTCAAATAATTTCCTAAATTACTTTTTGTTTCCAAGTTGTCAGCCGCAACAGCAGCTTCTGACCTTGAATCTGTCAATTGTTTTATGCTCCGAGCCGCCCGGGGCAGGACACGTGTGGTCAAGCACCTTTTCGGTGCGTGTCCTGCTTTTGTGTTCGGCGCTGCGAGCGCATTAATGACGAGCCGTCCTTGTCGGCATTTGGGTTTCAGGCTTTTACGGACAATTGCTTGTACGTCTTTTATTATTACAGCGATTTATTTGTGGTTGTCATTTTCCTTTATCACAAAATTCAAGCAATGTGCTTTGAATTATAAGTACATATACCTAAAACAGTTCAAATTCCGTGAGACAGCTAGCTTTAATGCCAATTACCTCTCTCAGTAACATTTATGGCTGAATAAGTGTGAAAATAATCAAATAATAAAGCCAAAAATCAGGTGGATTGTCAAACTCTGATTTTTCATATCGTGTACCCGAATGATGAAATTGTACGTATATTAAGTGAATGTTAAAATAGGAGAATCAAGATTATAGATACAAAAATATTATGGCCAAACGACTTGACATAGAAATTAGATCGACAAATTGCCATTCAGGCGGGTTTCACTAAAACGCAGAATTTCATCAAAAACCCGGAATACATACAAATTTCAGTACAGTTCTTCAGTTAATATCAATATTATAAAATATTGATATTTTACGTATATTAAAACGTTTCAATGAATGTTAAAATAGGAGAATCAATATTATAGATACAAAAATCTTATGGCCAAACGACTTGACATAGAAATTAGATCGAGAATTTTCATCAAAAACCCGGAATGCATACAAATTCCCGTACAGTTCTTCAATTAATATCAATATTATAATAATTGAAAAGCTAGTTTATTTATCCCTATGATACGAAGTATAAAAGCTGAGGCAGCACAATTAAAAATATTAATTTTCAGAAAAAATACAAGAATTCGAAATCTCTATATGTAAATGAAAGCAAAACAAATTAACAAATTAGAAGTGTATTGTGAGTGAGATTATTATTATTATGTTACCTATTATTTTCCAATTTATTATTTTAAATTCCATTGAGTTCCAATTCTGCTCTTAGTACTTACAACAGCTTGTATGTTTAAAGAAATTCCTAACCATGCTGAAGTTTCATCAAAATCGGTTATCTCTAACTTACATATACAAGTAGCTACTATAGATTGTTGCAATGTTTATTTGCATTTGTTTAAGCTTAAGGTTTATGACCCGGAGAGGAAACGGGTACAGAGTATACCAGATTGGGGCACTTTAACATTCAGCTCGTTCTTATTTATTATGTCTAACACATATATAACAAGAAATTAGAATCAATCTACTTATACTATATAACATTAATTCATGGGGTATACGTACATGCACATGTTTTATGCCTGTTTTTATTAGTTAAATAATCATAGAATTTCAATTTTCAATTATAATAATATTGAATTAAAGACTCAAACTCGCAAACTCGATTCCGTAGATGGTGTTAAATTGGAGGGCTTCTTCTTGAAATAAATATAATATCAATAAATATCGAAACACTTGTATTTGCAACAATGGAATATGAATAGAATATTTAAAAAAGAATGTCTTTAATAGAAATATTATAATTAAAATATTTTTCAGTTAAACGGGTCTACTTTTTTTTCCAACCCAAAAAGGGAAAAATACGTTTTTTCCCCGACCTAAATTTTTAAAAAGCTTTTCTTTTTTTAAATTTAAGCATTTTATCTCATAAATATTTAGTAAAAATAATTACATTCTGAAAGAAAAAATTTGTATGAAAGAAAATTCGAATAAACGAAGAAAATAGTGTCGTTTCTATTTTTTTTTTTCATCACTGTATATGTGAATTTTTATGATCGACAGCATGTACAATCAATTGAAATTAATGTGAAATTAAATTAAATATTGTAATGGGGGGCAATAAACTCAGGCATGGAAGAAGCTGATTGTGCAGAGATGTATACGCGAACAAGCTTTATATATTCGAATATTCGTCATGATCTGCTGATACAGAATACCTACAAATGGGGTCTACCGTGTCCTCAAAGATGTGAATTATTTGAATCAACCTAGCTTACCATTACCGTGCAAAGTTTAGGAAAATTGTTGGCAAGTAAAACAACAACCCTCATCTGTTGAATTTAATTCAATTTAAGCTAAATTATACTGTTCTGGCTGCTCATAAAAAAGTAATAATGCTATTTGGGACGTCTGCTATTAAACTTGTCAAAGTAAAAATAAATCCACATCAATCAAATACTAATTAGTGGTCGTTATGTCGTTCCCGTTCCCTTTCCCGTAACTGGCCTTCTTCTGCATGGCAGTATTGGCTATTAATTTGCAAATTAATTTTCATTGAAGGTAACTGCACTGCTAATTAAATAATTAATCTGCTTTCGATTAGCTTTGTATCGGGAATTTCGCTGCTGGGCACATCAACGGAAATCTACGTCTACGGCACCCAGTACGCCTTCATACTCATCACACTGGCCATATCTGGAATCATATCGTGGTATATCTTCCTTCCTGTTTTCTGTAATCTACAACTGACATCCACATATGAGGTAAGTCTACAATTTTTCCACATGACGTTTTTTTTTTTTTTTTTAATATTATTGCATGGCCTTTTCATTATAATATTGGCAAGAAAAAGGTGTTTTAAATGTTAATGTTCACGCTTTGTTTTTATTTACATATGTACTTATCTACATACACATTGTAAATTAGATTGTTTGCATGCTAGTTTTATCAATTGCTGCCTTATAAATTTTCAAGGCATATTTTTTACTTGTGGGCCATTACATTTTTATTAGACTTGTGACTAAAAATCATTGAAGGAGTCATCATGTTGGCAGTGGCAGCTTCCTGAGTGCTTATCAGCAGTGTGCTTTGCGTGTCAGACGTTATCTGAGCCTTTATTGCGTGCTTCTTTGGCCTGGTCTAGACAGTGGCTGCTTGGGATTTGATTGTTGTTGGGCTCGAAGGCGCCTGAAATACTAAAATAACCCCGATAAGGCATTCAAGGGTAGAAGAACTCTTAATAGTCAATGCAATCTGCAAAATCAAGTTTCAAAAGTAGCAGCAGTCGAAAATTCGAATCGTGTTTTAAAACCAAACCCTCACCCAAAGGGGCAGCTTGGCCAAACAAAATCAAATACGTTTAAAGTAATTCACGACAGACATCGAATACAAAAGAAATCCCACCCTAATCATATTTGCCTTATTTCTGGGGAAATGTCGAATATTAAAGCATCAAAATTTATTTAATTCATCAAATAAAAATTTTAAATTTTATAATTTATTATTTTTATTCACCCACAACTCTAACAAAAGTAAGCCAATTTCAAGTTTTTCTGAAGCAAATTCTGAAGAAAACTATTTACTTTTATCAATGATTTTTAATATAATTGACAAGTTGCTTGGTTTATTTAATATCCGGATAATAAATATAACTAGTAGACTAAAAAAATGTTCTATTTATATCCAAATTGAAAGCAAACTCCACATTTTTGTTTGTGGGTGTTTTTCATTGAATTTGTTATTAAATAATTTAATTTATATTAATTGGGAAATCTTTTAATAGAATAAAGGTATCATTTTTATAAAATGGCAACCAATTCGCATGAAAACATAATTGCAACTTACGTTTGCTTTAATAAAATAAATACATGTTTTCCAACACTTCCTGAACTAAACAAGTACTCGTTTGGTATTTTAATGTTGCTTGTGGTATTAACTATATGAGAATACTAAGGAATTTTCGAAATTCAAAATATACTTATAAATAAGGGCAATTTCAATCAGTGTATATCGTTTGAGACGCAAACTGCATTGTAAGGCTAATTTTGTAAATTGAAAAAAATGGCAATTCGATTATGTTAACGCGACAAATACATTTATATACATATGTATGTTATAATTGTATCGGCTTTGAGTGTGTGTTGCAAAACGTTCATGTGAAATTCAAAATCCAAACGAGATGCGTCATAAAAAATATTTACAGTATTTCGAGCTGCGATTCAACAGAGTTGTCCGACTGCTGGGCTCAATACTTTTTACATTTGGCACGGTAAGTTGAATGGAATTTTTAATTCACGCTCTTCTATAGTTAATAACCATATACTTTTATAAATTTAAATTGCTTTCCTGCTGCTGTTAGCTCATTTGGCTGCCAATTGTAATCTATGTGCCAGCATTGGCTTTCAATCAAGGTATGCAGTGTTTACCGATGATGATGCCCTAAGCTGTGTATTGCCCAATTATTTGCCATCTGCTCCCAATTTCAGTTACTGGGATCAATATACATATCATTACGCCTGTTGTGTGCTTAGTGTGCATATTTTACACAACTGTGGGCGGCCTCAAGGCTGTGGTTTGGACAGATGTCATACAAACCATCATCATGGTGGGTGCCATAGTCTTCGTAATAGTAAAGGGCACCATAGATGTCGGCGGCTTGGGTGTGGTTTGGCAGCGCAACTATGACAGTGGGCGAATGGAGTGGCCCGAGTAAGTATCCATGAGCTAAATAATTTGAATTTCAATTGCTTTGATCAGGCAAGTGTGTTCGTTTTAAAAAATAATATTTAATAATTGGAACAGTACAAAACGGGACAAAATTCTTCTCAAATAACTATGCGTACAATTTTATTATCTGCTTGAAATGGTGGGTTTTAGTTAATAGCAGATTTTAAGCAAGCTAAACAAGTATGAAATTAATTACGCATTGTTCGAAAATTGGAAAACTGGCTAATTTGAATTCAGCAGGAATAGCGATGATTGTTTTTCATTTTGGTTTTCAAATCCCAAATTTGTTGCTCATCTCACTTATTTCAAGAATTTTTAATTCGAAAAATTAAAATTTAATTTAAATAAAAATTTAAAATTTTTTAAATTAATTATGCTGTTATGTTTATAACTTAAATTAAACTTATAGTTAAATACAAATACAACTTAACCTAGGTGTTCAGTCTTAATTACAATTAAACATTTATAATTTTTATAAATCAGTTGGGAATTAAAATAGTTAAGGAATAATTGTTAACAGGTTATCCTTCGACCACAAGACGCGAATTTCGCTCTTCGCCATGCTAATAGGCAACATTCCGTACGGTATGCAAAACTTTGGGGGAAACCAAGTAATTACGCAGCGGTACCTTTCACTGCCCGGCCTAAAGGAGGTGAAACATGCCTTCACGCTTTTCATTACTGGCATAACGCTGCTGAACGCCATTTGCTTCTACAATGGGCTACTGCTCTATGCCACGTATCATGATTGCGATCCGCTCACCACAAAGGTATGCCTCTCTGGGCAGACTAACTAATCAGTGTAATATATATAGAAGAATAACTTTTTTTTAGTTGGCTAAGGCGAAGGATCAATTGGTGCCTCTATTAGTCATGGAATTGTTGAAGGACTTTCCTGGCTTATCAGGCCTGTTTGTGGCTGGTGTTTTTAGTGCAGCCTTGAGCTCTCTCTCCACCGGTCTGAATTCGCTTGCTGCCGTAGTCCTCGAGGATTACATCAAACCTCTCCGAAAGAAAAAGCTTTCAGAGCACCAGACTGCTATTGTTATGCGTGCATCCACGGTACTTATAGGAGTTCTAAGTGTCTGCTTAGTGTTTGTTGTGGAAAGCATGGGCACTCACGTTATGCAGCTGTCTATGACTATGGCATCGGTGGCGATGGGTCCCCTGCTGGGTCTGTTTCTTATAGGTCTGCTACTGCCCAGACTCAATTCCAAGGTTCGTATATCGTGCTTGCACCATTTGCCAAGACTATTGAATAAGCCTCACATTTTTAGAGTGCCTTGACAGGAGCGTGCAGTTCGTTCATTATAATGACGTGGGTGTGCTTAAAAGGTCAGTTGGCTTTGAGCTCTGGAGAGTTAATCTACACCCCCAAGCCTGTGAGCACGAGTGGCTGTGATTATGGGTTTGAGTCGTTGTTGCATATGTCTCCCAATGGCACAACACCAGAACCGGAATCGTCTACGTAAGTAGTGCACTTCTGATTTCCCACTTTTCTAAGCTTTATGTGTTCTATTTTAGGCCCGGCAGCCTCTCACTCGCTCAGGAAATCTATCACATGTCCTTCCTGTTATACTGCACTGTAGGAAGTGCGTTGGCTATTGTCATAGCCCAGCTGTCAAGTCTGGTATTTGGACAGAACAAACCGGGGGATATAGACATTGAGCTGCTGGCCCCCTGTATTCGACGTTTCCACAAGACTCAATATGCAAGCGTTAACCTCGATGAGGCGGCAGAGGCAGCCTCCAAGCCATGAATATTAATACGCAATCTTTCATTGTACCTGCACTCTATTTCGGGGACTTTTTTTTGGTGCTGTGTAATTTTAATAAAGCTGATCTTTAGGATAACACCACTCACTGATCTAGTCATAATTCGTCTTGTTTAGATATATTGTATATTTGTTGTAACTAATCCACAGTAATGCGTCTAATTGGCTTTCAAAAGTATACTAAAATGCTTGCAATACGTTATTGGGCCCATTGAATGCTTGAAGACTTTAATAATCTTAACCCAACTTGAACTTTTCCTAGTACTTTGAGTTGCGTTTTGGCGCCTCCATTCGCAACTTTGGTTCGTTGCTGTTTGTTGTGGGCATGGTGAGTATTCAGCTGAAATCGTTTTAAAATGTCGCTGGACCTGAAATTTGACTTGAAACTATGCCTGTTGAAATGTTCACCAGTGTTGAGAAACAGCCGAATAACTGCAATTAGAGCTTCACTTCTTATTTAGGCAAATTTCAAGTCTCGCTTTAATTTAGTGAAACAGCGAAGCTGACTAATTATTTTTGCAGGTCTTATGGCTGCCCGTAGCCCTCTATGTGCCTGCCATAACTTTTAGCCAAGGTAAGTACCGTTATTAACGCCACCTACGAGCGACTAAGTCGATTCTTATTGCAGTGACCGGAACGGGAACACATATGATTACGCCCATTGTGTGTCTTGTTTGCACTTTTTACACCTGCGTGGTAAGATTGAAGAGTTCATAATTTATCAAAGAAAACTTTTCGAATACTATTGGCATTCTAGGGTGGGCTTAAGGCTGTAATTTGGACAGATGTAATACAAAGTTTCGTTATGTATGGCTCCATACTAGCTGTCTGCATTAAGGGAACCTATGATGTGGGAGGACTTGCTGTTGTCCTGCAGCGGAACGAGGAAAGTGGACGACTGAATGCGCCAGAGTAATCAAAACTGCTAGTCCTAGCAGCATTTTCCTTACTCTACTTGTAATGCTTGAATATTTGCAGTTGGACCTGGGATCCCACTGTGCGTCTGTCGATGCTGGCGGTTATAGTGGGTGGCACATTACACAAGATTCAGTCGTCGGACGTGAATCAGGTGTCCATACAACGCTTTCTCTCGCTGCCCATCTATAAGCACGCCAAACAATCCATGCTGCTCTTCACCATTCTTTTAATCATTTTGCTCAGCTTCTGCAGCTACATGGGCCTGGTGATCTATGCAGCATACCACGACTGTGACCCCATTAGCACAAAGGTAAAGGTAATTAAATTAAAGGACTACATTACATCCGTATGTGCTTCGTTCGCAGCTTGCCAAGGCCAGCGATCAACTGCCCTCGTTATTCATGATGCGCACTCTTGGGAGCTATCCTGGCCTGCCGGGTCTGTTTGTGGCGGGTGTGTTCAGCGCAGCGTTGAGCTCTTTGTCCACGGGCCTTAATTCGCTGGCTTGTGTTATTACGCAGGATGTAATACGGCCACTGGTTAAGGGGAAGCAGCTCACTGATTTCCAGACCGCTCTGCTGTTGCGTGCAATCGTCGTCATATTTGGACTGGCCTGTATGGGTCTCGTGAGCGTAGTTGAGAAGCTGGGCATGGTAGTCCAACTGTCAACTATGACTTCGGCTGTTTCAATGGGTCCATTGTTGGGAATTTATGTTATGGGCGTTTGCCTTCCGTGGGTTAATGCCAAGGTCAGTGCCACGAGCCGTAAGTAGAGGAGGTTGTTTAATGACATTACACGAATCCACAGAGTGTTTTGACGGGAAGTCTTGTTTCGTTTGTGACCCTCGCATGGATATGCTTCCAAGCGCAGTTGGCACAAATGAATGGCGAGATACGGTATCCCAAAATGCCAGTCTCCGTTGAAGGATGCTCCTACGCCTACGACAATGCAACTGTTTGGAAGGCTTTGCACGATTACACGTAATCGAATGATTCATTCAAGTAGCATTGAACACAATATTTTTATTCAACAGTCCATCGACGGAGCGAAACCTGTACCACTTATCCTTCTATTGGTACACAGGACTAGGCGGATTCATTTGCACGGCGGTTGCCTTAATAGCTAGCACTGTTTTTGGTTGGCAGGATGTATCACAATTGGATCCGGCTTTGATTACGCCCTGCATGCGACGTTTCCTACCCAAAAAGGACTACCAGCCTGTGGACTTGGAGGAACTCTTCAGAAGAAAGAACCAACATGATGTGGCTAGCCCTGTTTTATCTGAGATATCAGGCAGCCGTTAAACGATATTTCATTTTTTTAATAAAATTGCACTGTCTATAAAAAAAGCAATTGGGTTTTATTTCTGTTCTCGTTCTTACTGCCGAATCGTCCTCATTAAACACTCATTTGTATATAGCCCCCACATTTCGATAACACTGTTGTTCTTTTCTATATTTTTTATTGGCCCTTGAACGCAGTATTTTGAAAGACGATTTGACTATCGTATTCGAATCTTTGGATCCTGCTTATTTGTCGTGATGAACGTGAGTAAAGCTTCCTTTTTAAACTCTTTTATTTCTAAACTTCCTTTGCATCCTAATCTCCTTTGCAGATTCTTTGGCAACCCATATGCATCTATGTGCCTGCTCTTACTCTAAATCAAGGTAGGAGCCATGACTTTTTCAAAATACTTAGCATCCTTTGAGTGTTGCCATTTTTCTTTTAGTTTCCGGCGTCAGCGTCCATTTGATTGTGCCCGTAACCAGCCTTGTGTGCATTGTCTATACGAGCGTTGTAAGAGGTCCCTAAGCCTGTAGGATCTGTCCACATTTTTAATGTTCTCCTTGTTTTAGGGCGGTATTAAAGGTGTGGTCTGGACTGATGTCATTCAGTGCATTGTCATGGTTGGCGCCATGATATTTGTGATTATTAAGGGCACTGCAGACTTGGGCGGCTTGGGCGTGGTACTGGATCGCAATGATCAGTACGATCGCTTGGTGGGGCCCGAGTACGTATGGCGGGTAACCACAAAAACTATATTTTTTATCTAATTTTTGTCTCGTATTTCTGCAGCATGACTTTAGATCCGACGGTGCGCATGGGTGTTGGGGCCCTACTGATTGGTGGAGCCTTCTTCAAGCTTCAGGCGAATTGCATCAATCAAACGGCTGTGCAGCGCTTCCTCACGCTGCCGAACATGAAGGCGGTTAGGCAGGCTCTGGTTCTGTCGATGGTTGGATTTCTGTTAGTGATGGGAATGTGCATCTACATAGGGATACTCGCCTTTGCTGAGTACTACCACTGCGACCCCATAACCACTGGGGTAAGTAAAAGTGGTCGTAAATTAATTATTTATCTGAATGACTTATTGCTCTTATTCGCAGCTTGCACGGGCCAAGGATCAGGTTATACCGCTTTATGTAATGCAAAGTGCTGGCTCCGTTCCAGGAGTTGTGGGCCTGTTTGTGGCCGGCGTTTTTAGCGCTGCCCTTAGCTCGCTGTCCACCGCACTTAATTCCCTGTCCGCAGTCATTTTAAAAGACTTTGTCGAGCCGTATCGCAGCCGACCTCTCACGGAACGTCAAACTGCATATGTGTTGCGTGGTGTTGTGTTAATCTTCGGTTTGATTTCGATGGCGAGTGTGCCGGTTGTGGAAAAACTTGGCATGGTGATGCAGCTGTCCTCGACAGTGGCTTCCATAACCTGCGGCCCCCTTTTGGGCGCTTTTACCGTTGGTATGCTGCTGCCTTTTGTTAATACTAAGGTTTGTCTCTTCGTCTAAGTCATGCACACTCCGTTTACTTGGATATTTTTCCACCATTTTCTCTCTCACAGAGCCTGCTTACTGGCATTTCAATTGCAACAACCTTCACGGGATATGTGGTGGTGCGTGCACAAATTGCATTGGCAACTGGCCAAATGTCCTTTCCCACGAAGCCTGTGTCGGTGGAGGAATGCGACTACGATTTTGTGCTGCCTGCCAATTGGAACAGCACTACGAGCGCGTACGTTAATGTGTCTTATTAAATGTTTGATTGTAGTCATGATTTCTGTGATATTGCCTTTCTGTTAACATTGTCGTTGTAGAGTGCCAAAGGAATCCGGTATGCATAGTGTGCATGAAATTTCCTTCTTATGGTATACGGCAATTGGATCCGTGGGCACAATACTTTGCTCCCTCGTGGCCACACTATTCTTCGGAAAGCAGGACGTGCGCGAGGTTAAGATGGAGCTAGTGGCCCCAGTGCTGCATAAATACTGGTATGGAGACTATAAGAGTGTATCCAGCTATGACGTTGACCAGTGATGATCTGGAAAGGTTGGAACACTATTCAGTTCTAACTTATAATGAAGATATCTACGTACTATGTATTTGTATGCTAGCTTACGTTTTAAGCGAATAAATATGATACAAAATCGAACCCTTGTTTGAAGTTAATTCTAAGTCTATTGCCTAAAGCTGTTGCAGAAACTAACATCTTGTATTATTCCTTTATAATATATACTTGTACAAAAATCTTCCTTTTTCAGTATTTTGAGAAACGTTTTAGTCGCCGTATGCGTTTGTTTGGAGCCTCCCTTTTCGTCCTGAAAGCGGTACGTTCGACTATATAGTATACCTAAGAAAAAAGGAGTTACAAGGTTTTTGTTGCAGATCATATGGTTACCCATAGCCGTATATGTGCCCGCGCTTACCTTTAATCAAGTGACCGGCATAGGCGTACACGTAATTACCCCAATAGTTATCGGCATCTGCACATTTTACACCTGTGTGGGCGGAATTAGGGGCGTGGTCTGGACAGATGTGATGCAGAGCTTTATTATGTTTGGTTCGGTCTTTGCAGTGTGCGTTAAGGGCACCATGGATCTGGGCGATGGTAACGGTCTGAGTGTGCTTTGGCAGCGCAATCTGGAAGGCGGTCGCCTCAACACACCCGAGTAAGTATTCCCCACACACAATATTTATATTTTTTAATAATAAACGTATGCTTTTTCAGAGTTAGTTTAGATCCAACGGTGCGAATGAGCATATTCTCTGTGTTTGTGGGCGGCATCTTCTTTAAGCTGCAAAGCACGTCCATTAACCAAACCACTATACAGCGTTTCATGTCACTGCCGTCTCTTGCGGACATAAAAAAAACACTTATAACATTTTCTATGGGTCTAGTGCTGCTATTCTTGGGGTGCGCCTATGTAGGACTTGTGTGCTATGCGACCTTTCACGACTGCGATCCAATGTCCACGGGTGTAAGTTCCAAATTAAAGCGATTCCTACTAGCAGCAGAGACTAAATTATGAGTTACCCCTCGCTCCTTAACCAGTTGGCTAAGCAACGGGATCAGCTGGTTCCACTTCTGGTGATGCAAGTGCTGGGATTCATTCCAGGCTTACCAGGTCTCTTTGTTTCGGCGGTTTTCAGTGCTGCCTTGAGCTCTCTATCGACACTGCTGAACTCTCTGGCCGCAGTTATCCTGGAGGACTTTGTAAAGCCGCGCATGGTCAAGCCAATGACGGAGCGAACTGTTGCCTTCACTATGCGGGCAGTGGTGGTGGTCTTCGGCCTCAGTTCCATTGGCCTCGTTTATGTGGTGGAGAAGCTTGGCATGGTCCTACAGCTCTCAGCTACACTTCAGTCGAGCTTGTATGGTCCGATGCTGGGAATATTTACAGTTGGAATGCTGATGCCTTGGGTGGGCGAGAAGGTACACTAAGTTTTTCAGATAAGATTAAGGATGATTTACCATTAAGACTTTCTTTAATTTACATTGAACTTTAGAGCGTCTTTGTGGGCAGCATTGCCTCATTCTTAACGATGGCTTGGATTTGTGTTAATGCCCAAATTGCCAATGTAACTGGAAGTTTTCGACACACCAAGCTACCGGTTTCGGTGGAGAACTGCAGTTATGAGTTCGATATGGGGCGCTATCTGAATTCGTCCATTGAATAGTAAGCGAACATTAATGATCCCCCGATGTGTATATACAAGTACATTGCCTTTCCCCACAGTGAACCAACGAGTGGATCTTCCATTTATCATATCTCTTTTCTGTGGTACACTACATTGGGCGCCTCACTTGCTATTATTTTATCCAATATGGCCACATTGGTATTTGGACGACAGAATGTGGCAGAAGTTGATGAGAATCTGCTGGCGCCCTTTGTGCAGAGATATATCAAACGGCATAGGCTCCAAGAATATGAGATAGTAGGGCTGAAGAAGCAGGAGAAATCGAAGAGTAACAAACAAAACTCTGACTAAGGAGGCTTCCCAATGGTGACATACTTACTATGTGCTTACATGGGTACCGCTATAGAGGTGTAATTATTATCAAATAAATAAATAATAAATAAACGTCGTCATCAAACAAATTTCTCAGAATTGAGCGTTGATCAACATTTGAATTCCTTTAACCCTTCGTATGACTTTTTCTGATTTCAATGTGGATTTTTCCATTAGATAGAAGAAGATAGAAGCAAAATTAAAGTATACGTGTTTTTTGGTTTTTTGAAATTTTGTGATTTTGTATATTTTTTACAAAAAAAGATGTGTTTTATTTTTACATTAAAGTTGTTTTTGGGGTAAAAAAAATGTCTGTAAATGAAAATTTTAAAAAAATTATTATTTTTATTAAAGCATAATACGACCCCACATTCATTGCATTTAGTTGTACTTTATATATAGAAAAAAATTATTACTTAAATCTTCTAATTAGCTGGCATCCCACGAGTCACAAAGTTGGCGCCAAAAGTGAAAATAATTTCAATTCACTTTTCAGTGTAACCAAATCAAAAACACTTAAAGTACCATGTGTAGAACTACATCAAATAGAAACTTTAAAAATTTCGCGCATACATTATAAAATAATTGAGATTAAGCGGTATGTTGCAGATATACATCATAGACATATGAAGGGTTAAATCAAAAAGTATTAAATGGTGGGACAATCAAAAAATCCAAATTCGAGTACACTTTATTTGCTAAATAAAATCACAGCAAATAGCCGTTATAATAACAACAATGGAGTTAGTCACCAAAGTGAATTTTAATTCCCATAAGCCGTATGGACACACTGACGAATTTCTGTTACAAACATATGTATGTATTTTTCAAATTACTAAATCAGTTGCTGAAATACAACTATATATGACTTTATATAGGTACTCTTACGACCTCAAATCATGTCAAAAAAATTACATATATGTATATATAATGATATAAGATGTTCAATCCATATAATTGCGTTCATTTGGTGCAAGTTAGACTACGAAAATGAGAAAGATTTCGTTGTAGGACATTTGTTCTAATAGTGAAAGATGCATTCTATATACATATGTATATGTATAATGGAAAAATAAGTTATTTATTAATAATTTTGTGGATTTCGTATTTGGACTAAATAGCGAAGCGCCAGCCGCCTTGGCTGCACCGTGTGTTCTATAAAGGTGCATACTCAATGGGGAAAACAGAGGGCAGTCATAGGCTGCGGGCGCTTAGGCCGCACTAATCTATCTGAGTTTAAATAATTAAAATATAAAAGTCAGTTTTGAACTGCCATATCTTCTGCACTTGGTCCGGACATTGCATGGCGGCAGCGCAGTTTGCGCCGAACAGCCGAGGAGCTGCGGGATACTGGTTGGGACTGGCCCGATCGCGCCTGAATGTTGGTTTGCATCTGGGAGGGTTGTGAGTAGAAGCGATGTGTGCTCGGATGCCGGGAGCCGGCTTGCCTAGTTGGCGAGCGCTGGTTGAGCTTGGCCGAGCCTGTAGCTTGCACGGTAGGGCAGGAAATGCGGCGCTGCAAGTTGGGTAGACTGGCGGAGCCATTGTTTTTGGGAAGACGTCGGATAGTTGTGGGCTTGGAGGGCAATCGACGCTCTCTAGATGATCCTGGGGGAGAACATTTCTGGCACATCTGTGCTGAGTAGACGTTGGGTTGCTGCTGCTGTTTTAGCTGATGTTGCTTCGCTTTGTGGATTTGAATTATCTGGCCATCGCCAGCATTGCTTTCCTGCTCGCGATAGACGCTATCGCTATCGTTGCTCTCCTCGCTCTTGGTGCGCTTATAACGCTGGTGTTGGGACTGTAGGGCACGATAGTGGATTGTTTGGCTGTCGATAAGCATTTGGGCGACGAACTTGAACTGATTGATGCTGGTTTCGTTTTGGTCGGCTATTTCTGGGGGTGGACGCAGGACGTAAAGAAAAGGGAAAGAGAATGTTGGGAGAGAACTCACTGCTTATCAAATCGCGGTACATTTCAGTCAGCAGCTTCTCGTTGTGGCTTAGCTGTGCGGCCAATCGGTCCACTTTAGTCATTGTGTCCTCAAAATACTTGAATACCATGCGTTCTACGGCACCTTGCACTGCCTCCAGCACATTGTCGTGCACGATATTGAAAAAGTCTGCACAGGACTCTTGAAGCTCTTGATTGGGATCCTTTGGTGGACCAACTGGCTGATGCTTGTTTTCTGCCCCCGTTTGGCCGGAGTTCCTGCGTCTAGGCTCCTCAGCTCCGGACGCTGCTCGATGCTGCTGGTGCTGCAGTTCTTGACAGTCCAAGGGCGATACAAAAAAGTTAACGCTGCGGGTAGCCTCCTTTTTCATTGTCTCTTGACCAGTTCGTCGCGCTGAAACAGGGTTCTCTTTATGAATCCTACGCACTACGCGTTTGAGACGTTTGCCATTTTGATCGCGGAATGTGTCCAGCGTCTCAGAACTCGGATGTGATGGGCGAAGCATATAGCCATTCCTAGACTCTATTCCTGTACTATTGTCACTTGCTTTGTTAGAGTCTTTTGGCACGTAGGTTCGCTTAACCACATGATAGCCTTGATCTTTGGCACATTGTGTGAAGCAAAAATTTGGAAACATTATTTGCAATTTTAAAAACGGAAATTTAAATTCCACAGAAATTGAAACGACACCTTCCACAAATTTTGTACGATACGTTTATTTAAATTCACACAACCTGGTTTTGTGTGTCTGCGGGTCTATATAATAAATAGTTCATGTATGTGTATGTGGATAATTTTTTAACCCTAGATGTTTTTTTGCTGTAATTTTGTTTGTTTATGATTAGTCTGAAAGGAAAAGCTGAACTAGTCATGTTTTCCGTCAAGTTTTATTCTTGCACAGTGAAATCCTTTTATAAATAATAAAATGAGGCTCCTGAAATTAAGCTGTAATTTTTTAATATGTTGAGAGAACTCAGAAAAATGTATTTGTAACTCAAATCATGCTCATTTGAAAATGTGGTTTTTAACAAATACATATAGATGAATTTACCCTTTTGTGATTCTTGCTTGAATTTAATAATTTGAATGAATTAATTATTAAGATTTGTTGGAAATAAGTTCTTGATAAAAGAAAGCGAGCATTGAGCTGAAGCTACTTCATTAATGTAAAATTTAAATTTCGGAAATAACTTACAGCTTTATCGATATGCGAATTAATAACTTATCGACTATCGAAATATTTCGAAATTGGTCGCGTTACAGCACTTTTTGATAAGAAAAAGTATGAAGATCTAAATTTCTATTGGAGAAGTCAATATACTCGTAAGTGTTGGGAAAGGATTTTGCGTAAGACATGGTGAGTCCCAGCATTTAGCTATTCATAAGCCTGATATAAAATAGTTTTATTGAGAAATAAGTTTGTTGGTAAAATTACAAATTTATAGAGATTTTTTCATGCTTTTTGTGTTAAATTTTGTGTCTGTCTGAAACTATGCACTTATGTATATAACTTTCGCATAAACATCTGAGCTAAAAGAGTATTATTTTATTTGGAATTATAATTTACATAGGTATAAATTAAGAATACATATTTGTTCAAAACAAACATTTAGAAAGTAATACATTAAAGGTTAAGTATAGTTTTATTTTGGCAAGGAAATGCAATTATTTTAAGTTGGCTTTTCGTAAACATAAGAAATACATATATCATCAGTCTGATAGATAGAGTATAGGTTATAATTAGAGCTCGTCTTCTTATATTATAAAAAACCACGATGTAAATGCATTTATATATTTACAATATCATGCTTATTACAGAACATATTGGTAACTTGAATAACAATATTGTGCCTAAAGGCAACCACTCGTATCTTATATACACGAAATTCGGAGTTTAATTCATAGCCCAGTTAAATAAGATCTTAGGCTTCCTTATAAATATTTACGTATGAGTTATTGTCGAAGCCTCAGTAACATTCGAGTTCATCTATTCGTATTCCACGTTCGCAATATAGTTGGGTCTACGGCCTGAAGTTTTATTTGATCGATGCACTAACTATCATACCTCTGACATGGCTGGAACGGTCATCTTGGTGGATCGTTCGCAGATAACCACTCGTGCCGTAGAGCGCTTTGAGACGGTCAAGGATGTGGTCAGGGTTCTCATTGAGTCACAACTGTTGTGTAGCCTTCGGCCCACTGTATTGCAGCGATTTTGCTGTGAACTGCTGCGATAGGACTTGCAGCAGCATGTGAACCATTTGAAAGGCGGAAATCGACTGTGATGTGGGTGGAGGGGGAGGGGGTTTAAAGTTATTTGAGGAATGCTTGCTGCCTTCTATGGTGTTCTTACCTAAGCGTGCGAAACACCTGGGAGGAGAATAGACAGTAGATCAAAGGGTTCGCTGCGGAGTTCAAAGGGGCCAGGCTTTGAATGAACGTTGCTATGGCTATGTTCGTTTGTGAATTAGGAATTTGTCCAAACACTTGCAGCATATCGAATATGATATAGGGTGACCAGCAGAGAATAAAAACCAGCACTGCGAATGCATGCAATACTTAAAAAATTGAAGTTATTTTTACAAGTACTTCACCTACCTATGGTGAAGGTCATCTTGACCGTCTTAATTTTGGCACGCGGTATGATGCCCCGGGAACTTGCGCGACGGGTGGGCGCAGCCCCAAAGCCAGAACGTTCTTGAGGACGAGATGTTGTGAGCTGGATTGTGGGGCTGTGAGATGAGAGTGTTGGGTACTTACCCGTGGGCACAAATATGGAGCCCTTTGCCCATATGGTCTTTACAATAATCGCGTAACAGGCCGTTATGATAAGTGCTGGAACAGCAAACAGAGTGGCAGATACCAAGCTCATGTATACCTGCCAGGCCATTGGGGAGCCAAGCTCGATCCAACATTGCGGATGGCCCTGTATCAGCTTCTCCTCGTACAGCACCAGTATGGGCAGCGAGAAGAGAGCCGAGGTGAGCCAGGCTCCAGCTACAAGATGACGTGCGCGTTTCCCTGCAAAAAGTGTGGTGCCAACATTTTCCAATTAAAAAAGTTTTTTTTTTTTTTTTTGTGAGTGTGTGCCGTTTTAAGACGCCCAAGGCACCAACATCAACGGCAAAGGCAACGCCAACACTTACATGACTTTGAGAAGTTCATTGGATGCGTTATCGCATCGTATCTGTCAATACTCATGGCCACAAGCACGTAGGTGGATGAATACGTAACGCACACCTGTGAAAAGCGTATTACCTTGCAGGCCAGGTTCCCTGCCCGCCACGATATAGTAATGCGCCAGATAATGTCCGTCAGCACGTTAAGCAGTCCCACACAGAGATCTACGAAAAGATTTTGCATCATCAAATGGCACGTTTCAAAAGAAACACAGAGAGTGACAGCAATCTACAGTGAAAACTCCCTTAATGGACACCTCTTTTATCCGCACACTCTCTTCGGCGGACACTCTTTCTAAAACATTCGATCGGTGTATAATAATATATAATACAAGTATTTAAGTATCTCCTTGAGCGGACAGTTCCCTTGGGCAGACAAAAATTGGTCGACCGTGATGGTCCGGCCAAGAGAGTTTTCACTGTATATACAATCTTGCGTGTTCGACTTACCTGCCAGTGCCAATTGTTTTATGAAGTAATTCATTCGGGACTTGCGATTTTTGTTTATGAACATCACAAATAATACGGCGGAATTGCCAAGCACTATGATTGTGAAGAGTATCCAAAGCACTGCAAATTGTTCCGTCTGCAACGTAAAACAATCATATAAAACACCCTGTATTAGTGGATAGAGGTTCATTTTTGAAACAGGCATTGCAATTTTCAGATACGTAACGTACAAAGTAATCGAATCCCCTAATGGAAAAACAAATATACTTCCCACCTCCTTTTTAGACTGTCCCAATACAAAGGCTATAGCAGCGCGCTGTGGAATCTCCTGGACTTATATCTGTGGCTCACTCTCACTGCGTTCTAAAATTTAGCACAGGACACTTCTCTAAAATATCTCTAATCGAACAAGTCGTAGTTTCCTGTTAACAACATTCGTAGTCCCGTTATTATTTTTAAAACAAGGTAGTAAGCTTTAAATAGGATGTTTTGAGAGGTATAGAACTATAAATAGATTAAAAAATAGATTCAAATAAATGAAATGAGTCAAATTTGTTTCTGTATTCGGCACGAGAATTATAGCATTAGTAAGACCAAAAGCTTAGGCTGATGGGGGTGCTTAAATAGCTATACTTGGTCTCTAAATCTAAAATCTAAGATGCGTTGTCTGCATAAACCCATGACTTAAAGTTTCTTTGCTATAAGTAATTTTGTTGGCCAATTTTCATTACATTAAAGTTTCCTTTTTCAACAACTTCATAAGCTAGTAATATTAGCATAGGTTTTCGAAAAACAAAATGTATATTAAAAAAATTTTAAAAATTCTAGAGTGCCCATTAGGGACTATTATAGTAAGTATTATAAGCAGATATATTTAACTTTTAAACTTTTAACTTTTTACTTTTAAAAATAAATAAATAAATAAAGTACCTTTGCGAAGGTATATAGCTTTCGTTTTCCCAATTTTGTTGACCATAAAACTGACGAAGCATTCTCTCTACTTCTACAATTTTACAAACACAAGTCATCATTTTAAATATGTAAATATGAAATCGACTTTTCGATCAAGAATATACTTATTTGTTATGCTTTAACACTAAAAAATCAATGTAAAAAAATTAAATAAAATAAATGTAAAACTTAAATGTTAGCACGTTTTTCAGTCTCGAAACACAGAATGATAAAAATATGTTTTATTGTATGTCGAAAAATTGTGTTTGTGGCGAAGGTTTCTTTTTCAAATTTGCAAAATATATTCCCCTATTTCGTTATTCTTGATGATGGCGACGATATATAATTTGTGAGCGGTACTTTCTTTTCTTTTTGTTATCAATCATGTTAAAGCAACCTACCTGGTACTATCCGTATTGATATTATATTATAAAAAATTTTTAATATTAATTAATATTAATATTATATAAAATGGTATATACTATATATTGTAATAATTGTAATAGAATGTATCGACAGAACTACTTGTTGATTTATTAAATAAAATAAAAATAAGAAAAATAAAAATAAAATAAAAATAAAATAAAAATAAAATAAAAATAAAATAAAAATAAAATAAAAATAAAATAAAAATAAAATAAAAATAAAATAAAAATAAAATAAAAATAAAATTAAATAAAAAAAAATAAAACATAAAATAAAAATAAAATAAAAATAAAATAAAAAATCAAATAAAAATAAATAAAAATAAAATAACAAAAATAAAATAAAAATAAAAATAAAATAAAAATAAAAATTATTACTAACTAACTGAGTAACTAATATCTTTAAATAATTCCACATTAAAGTGAAATACATGGAATAAACATCGCACATCTTTCACTCCACGGAATGTCGATTAAAAATAAATCAGAGCGGCTACTGCTTATTTGTGTACATTGTGGGGAATCGTTCTAAATAAATATATCATGTCGATTTTGTTTACTTTTTATCTGAAATGGGTCGTAATCATAGGAAGGAGACACATATTTTGTTTGCTTTGAATGCCGTCTTTTTTTTTGTTTGGTAAAGATGTCCTCCGGATCGGGTCTGGGGTATTGCGAAGTGGCTGCAGCTCCGTCGCGACGGCTCCATTGCCGAACAGCTCACCGTGTTGCGCAAATTGCCGCATAAATCACTCAAATCTCCAGCATGCAAAGTAAATGAGATGCCAGCTGGTCAGACAACGCCCCGCTATTTTTAGTTCTTTCCTGTTGGCTCCTCACTATTTGTTGTCTGTTGTCTGCTGTCTGCGTCTCTGTTTTTATTTTTTTATTATTATTTTCTTTCCTTTTTTCCAACGCGTCTTGTTTATTACTAAATGTGGCCTCTGGCTGTTGCCATTTTTTTGTTTTTCTTGTAATTTGGTCATTTGCTTGTGGACTGCTTTTAAAGTGCGAGGTGCTTCGAGTTCAGAGAAAACCAACGGAATGCCAATCGCTCTGAGAAGGGAACTTTTGATTTTTTCGATGACTTTGCTAATGTTTAAGGTATTGGCTTAGCTACAATTTTCTAGCATGACTTTTAGAACATTCGATTTACTGCCAACGAGAAAGTCAAACTCTTTGCAAAACTTTTGCCAAAACCCACAATGTTGGCACTTCAACGCAAATTTTGCCTTTTTTGCTTTTTGAAGCTGTTTGCGTACTCTGGTCTCTTGTCCCTTTTATTGTGGCCTTTTCGGGACACTTTACAAATTTTGTGGCACCTCTTGCTAAAATTTGTGGATTTCAGTATTAAAAGCTCGGTATGTTTGTATTATAAAAAGTCCCTTAATACATACACTGAGAAAAAATCGTTGTGAACTCAAAAATTGCTTACTTAAAATTTGTTGAATTAAGCCAATATGATTGATATATGGAATTTGAATATTGCCTAATATTTCTGAAATATTATATTATAGAAACACTTCAAACATAATAACTTTTTGTCATCCTTATATAGTTTTTTCATTCATTTGCGTTAATAAATGACGACAAGAGAATGGATTAAAAAACTATTTATATAGACAATGTACATGTGTTATTGAAAACGCTAAAAAATATAGATCAACGGGTGCTCTGCATTTGATATGAACTTATTGGGTTTGCTTGAAACTATGTGGGTTTGGGTATGAAATCGGACAGATGGGAGTCAAAACTCACTCGATTTAATTTTGTAATATTCCTAATTCAATCAATTAATTTTAATTATTATTTTCTTTATTTTAACTAATCTTATATCGATTCTACCACGCATATTTCTCTCTGCATTCATACTATACTTACAGACATAGTCAATAGCTATGTATGTATGTATGGTTGCGCTGAGGAAACTTTTGCTGTGTGCCTTCAGTCCTTTTAATGAGGAGAGCACAACTTTCGGCAAGTCTTTCAATTCCTTTCTTTACCAAATCATCAAATCAATGCACCGCTTTACACCTTAGCGAGTTTTTCATAAGTTGACGCAATAAAAGTGAAATTTAATTTGTTTGGTTGAGCGAAATGGCTCTTTAAGCCGAAACCAAACCAAGCGCGCCTCGTTGCACAACATTTGTTATAATTATGTGGAAGTCAGCAGTGTAGTAAGCGGCGATTAAGCCGAAAGCGTGACCATTAGTCCCAATTAAAAGACAATAGCCGCTGCTACGGTCCACTTACTGTCCCAACGTGCCACCCCAGGTGGCACACCACCTTCTTTGAAGTGCCCGCAGCCACACCTATTATGTTCAAGTGAAAAGTTGGGCAGTGCTTTTAAGTGCGCTTCCTACGAATTCGATTGCGAGTGTCCTGTCTGTATTTTGACTTGCCTTCATGTTGGCCAACAGAACAAATATAGTTGAATGCAGCAAAACAGTCTCTACCTTTACGCATCTATTGAACGATTGTTGTGCAACGGAAACAACAAACTTTCGATGAACAATGGATTCCGACTACAATGTGTGCATCAAAGGAACAAGGAACTAGGAAAACAATCTGCAGCAGAAGAGAATAGTAAACTATGCTTAAAGCCCATGCAAATAGAGAGCTGATAGCTTTTACCCTTGTTTATTTTTAGGCTCCAGGCTCCAGTAGAGAAGCAAACAGGGAACATTTACGTTTTAAATTTCTCTGCATACTTTCAGGATTGTATTTATGACAGCGCTTGTAATCGATTACTTTTACCATTGCAGTGAATATATATTAATTAATTTAATTTATTGTCAAAATATAAAAAAATTTACTATCACTGGCTAAATGAAAGCGCAAAAATCATTATAAAATATGTGTAACATACATTATAATACAATTATTTTTAGGCTTTCCTTTCTTTTAAGTAGAAATACATTTTAGTTTAATCTATTCCGACAGCCCAAAAATGTTGAAGAAATACAACTAAATCACTCAATATTCAAGCAATTCACTCTTGATTGTTTTTTAGGACTTTGTTCTCATTTCAGATGCTTTGCTACTTTCAAATGAATTACTTGATTTCTCAAAAACAGTCAAAACTTGTGCTCACGCATCAATCAGTTAACAAATAAAGAATGAAAACTAAAGAGATGTGTTGCCAGCAATTCAGTTTTGAAAATGTATTTTCTTAGAAATAGCAGAATTTTGCTTTTGTGATTTCAATGCTTTCCAATTTCCGACTTTGATTCTCTCCAGGAATTCTTTTGAACTCTTTTAAGTAAGTATGCAGGTATGTAAAATATGTATATATTTTTTGGTTATGTAAAGGTAAAGGTACAGTTGCCATAAATTGCTTAGAAATGATTGAATAAGAAGCTGTATTCCATTTAAATATTGCCAAATATAACATAAATGGCTGTGAATGCATATGTATGTTTGCATGTGTGTGCAGACTTTCAAACGCAACAGTAAATGCCTTAGTACAGTTAGAGTAGAAGAGAGCAATATAAAGTGTTTTGTGTCAAAGGCAAAAATGCAATGGGCGTACGTGCTATGCAAGCAAATGCAACCCTGCATTAATCATTTATTCACGCACGCTTACACGCCCTGACAATGTGTCTGTGTGTGTGGCTACATACATAAATACGTGAGCCCAGCACGAGTATGAGTGTGTGTGTGTGGGTGGGCAGGGGAGTGCGCGAACGATCCGATATTCCGCACGTAGACGCACTCTGCGCACCCCACTATTTCTCACTGGAAGCATAAAAGTAAATTA